TTTTTACAGATTATTTTTTTATTTATTTATTTATTTATGTACCATAAAATATACGTTATACAAAATAAAATAACAAAATGTTAAAGGATAACTTATCTCTTTAAAAGATTTCTTCCAGAAACCCTTCAGAAGTGAGAAAATAAGTTAATATAGTGCGGTGTAGGTACAGTACAGCATTAAATGGAATTGTCTTAATATTAAAATACATATATTAACTAAATATTATAATTATACAAATATATATATGATGTTCTCCTGACCGATTCCGGCCACGGCGGCCAATCTCATTGAGACTAGCCAACTGCGCAGGAGATATTATAGTGCTCAAGTGTACGCGCAGACACAAGTGCACTCTCTATTCCTGTCACTCTCATACTCCGATGGGACGACTACTCGACACGACCGGTGAGAGATAAGGCGCAGGACCGACAGCTTTACGTGCTCTCCGAGGCACGGGGGTGAAACACCGCCAACTTCCCAACTCCGGGCTATTACTGAGTCTTTCTATACAGAAAGACTCAATAACTAAACTTGGCCCGACCCGGGACTCGAACCCAGGACCTCCAGGTGTGCAGCCGTACATGCTAGCCGCTACACCGCATATATACACACATACATACATACAAACATATATACTTACATATAAATACATACTAATCTACAATAATTTATGTCTGATTTGATAAATAGTACTGTTTAATTCTAAACTTAAATGTAGTGAATGAGGGATCATATGTATAGTCTTAGATTATATGTATAGATAAGAAAAGTCAGGTGGAAATAACAGTGTTAACTTTAAAATAGCTATGTCATATATTTCGGTGTTACGGTGTTAATTCACATAACAGAAATACTTTATCAAATATTCCATTCAATACATACTTATAATATTGATTGAGGCGAGTTTCAATGTTAATAAGCTATGTCTATGAATCGTAATGTCAACCATATCTACTGTTAAAAACAATATTATACTTTACTAGCATTGCACGCAGCTCCACCCGCGTTCAGATGACTAAAAACCAAATTCTTAGGTTTTACATATTAGTATACCCTTACAATGCAGTTTTTGTATTTTTCTCAGAAATGAGATATTTTCCCGCAATAAAAAGTATACTATATTTTGGTCCGGATAACCAGCTATCATTATACCAAATTTCATCAAAATCCCTCTAGTGGTTTTTCTGCGATGCGGTAACAGACAGACAAAAATTCTATAAACTACAGATTCGGGCTAAGCTCCGTATCGATAATAATGTTTGTTTCAATAAGATTTTACAAAAAATGTTTAATGTACAGATTCGGCTTAGTTACAATTTTATTATATGTATAGATTACCTAATCTTTTCCAATTGACTCACATCGCCATAGAAACTTCGAAGGTACTTCCTCGATTTTTTACTTCACAGTATCATGCCATTATAGAAGTTAGTTATATATTTTCACATTCACAATTCTTTTGTTACAAAATTAGAATTTCCGCGAATTATGAATTGTCTTAATTAATTTTTTTCTTGATTTTTTTTTTGACTTTCTTAGATTTACGCGAATATTTAACAGCTATACATATAATAAAATTCTAAGTCGAATCTGTACTTACATTAAATATTTTTTGGAAAATCTTATTGAAATTGTCATTATTATTGATACAGATACTGAATCACAGTTTTTAGAATTTTGGTCTGTCTGTCTGGCATCACGAGATAACCACTAGACAGATTTTGATGTAATTTGGTATGATGATAGCTGGTTATCCGGGTCATCGTATAGGATACTTTTTAATGCGGGAAAATACCTAATCTCTGAGCTAAACGTTAAAACGTAACTATGAACCTTACATGAGATGTCTATAAGCTTAGTCTCTCCCGTGGCTATGATCGCTATAAAGTAGTCAAAACGTCGGGAACCAATATAAATCCGCGAAAAAAGCCGAAAAGATACTTTATCCCGTGGGATACTCTTTCTATTTCCGGAGTAAATAAAAGCTTGTGTCCCTTTAGTCACTTTAGTTTTCTATCTACCAGTAAACACCACCCACCCTGTTTAGTCTTCCATATTCCCTAATCTAAAGGTTTCCTGGAAGAACTCTTATCTATACTAATATTATAAAAAGGAAAGATTTTTTGTTTGTTTGTTTGTACCGAATAAGCTCCCAAACTACTGGACCGATTTTGGTGAAATTTGGTAAGAAGACAGTTTGAGACCCCGGAAAGGATATTGATTAGTTTTTATCCCAGAAATCATCCCGTAATGTGATAAAAATGGGGATGAATGTGTGTATAAGGAATCAACCTTTAAGACCGCCTTTTGTGCATGTTCTGTGCATTTTGTTTTTCCATCTCTAAGTTCTTACTGTGGTATACAATAACATGTATAAATAAATATAAATAAATAAAAATATTTAACGTCCGTCTTCTAGCCATGTGACTGACTTCTACATCCATATTTCCATACTAATATTATAAATGTGAAAGTGTGTTTGTTTGTTTGTCCTTATTTCACGTCGAAACGGAGGAACGGATTGGCGTGATTTTTTATATGGAGATAGTCGAAAAGCTGGAGAGTGACAGGCTACTTTTTATAGCGGGAGATCTTCTCATTCCCACGGGAAAACATATACAATCCAAAAAAAATATTTATGATCAGAATTACTTGGTATTAATGCTCTTCAATAAAATTAAATAAAGTTTTAGCATTTTTAGAAATTTATCTTATAAGGGAGTAAAATAGGGGATGAAAGTTTCCCCCCCAACGTGCGTTCACCTTGTCGTGGTGGGGGGGCTCAGTAGTGCCCGGCAATCCAACCGGGCGCGAAGCTAAGAAACGCACAGGGAGGTTGCCCACTTCGGTGGGCGGTGGGAGGTGGCCCTCTTCGGGGGCGGTGTACCATGCGGGTTGCTCCTGGTACTTCTCTGATAGCAGAGTGGACTGTGGAGCAACCCCATGGTTGTGGTGGTCTGCTTTTGGCAGACCTGCCGTCGGGGCGTCGTAGTTGAATGCGTAAGCGATCCTGCGACGCCCTATTAAGACGGGGGAAGGTTTTGTTGGGTTTTAGTAGGTAGTACTGGCTGTATTACGCCGGTGAGTCCCACACGTCGTGCGTAAATGCATTTCCCAACGATAAAAAAATATAAAAAAGGGATGAAAGTTTGTATGAAACTACCTTTTTGGAGATTTTTTTTGTAGTTTTAGCGCGAGCGAAACCGTGGGTTCTGCTAGTATGTTATAGGTTCTTAATGTAAATCCTACGTTAATTACTGGTTAAATGAAGATTGGCAGATTTTATTCCCTAAGCATGGTTAGGGGGCTGTTAGGGGACAGTTTCTGTTTCACCGACAGTTAGGGGTCACCTAAATATTAAAAGGCCCCCTAAATTTAGGTGCTCGAAATATGGGCTTAAAGACGATGGTAAAACGAAATTTAATTTAGGGGCTAGTTTAGGGGACTTTTAAGTTAGGGATCCCATACGTAGGTGGTAGCTTATTGGTTGTTGGTGAAATCGGGCATTAGACATGTGGATTTCCCCACATTTTCCTTGCTTCACCTTATAACGTATTAGCAAGTGGTTATGATATTGACAATGCACGCACGTAAAAATAACGAGACGAGATCTGCAAGAGGAGGAAAACCTCTTCACTCGTTATTAAAAGCGCATAAGATATCATAAAAAAAAATCTTTAACAATTCGTATAATATTATAGATTCAAAATTATTAAATATCATGTTGACGACCAAAATCTTTACAGATAAATAAAATTGAAGTGTCTGTTTATGATCTCAAAATAACAACTTTTTACAAAATGTACCTATATGAAATTATATACGGTGCTAATAAGAAAAAAACAATTGTTAAAAATTAGGCCTGTCTGTCTGTCTCTCTGTTTGGTCCAGCTAATCTCGGAAACGGTTGGACCGATTTTGACGGGACTTTCACTGGTAGATAGCTGATGTTATAAGGAGTATCTTTTTTTTTTAGAAAAAGGATCAGAGTTCCTTTTTTATTATTTTTTGTAGTTGAAGCGTGAGCGAAGCCGCGAGTTCTGCTAGGTAAATATACTATTCTTTATTGCACTTAAAAATAAATAATAAATATTTTGTTTGATAGACATTTGAGAGAATCTGTAGTATTCATCGATCAAAGAATGATAGTATTATTTATTTTTATTTTTATGCCAAACAATTGTGAAATAATATATATATATATGTGTGTAGAAACTAGTTTCTAAAGCATAATATTTTTGCAAAGAAATAATTATATCAGTCTTGAGTAAATATATGAATTACCTGTGACTTCAGCAAAACATATTATTTGTAACGAAATAGGTACTTAAATATAGTATATTGAAAAAGTTCTTATATCTACTATATAATAGCTAACAATAAAATTTATATAATACTTTATCAGAGAAATAAAATCTATACATATAATAAAATTATACATATAATAAAATTATACATATAATAAAATCTATACATATAATAAAATTATATTTTTGATTAATTACTTACAGTGTGTGTTTTTACTTTTTAACTCCCGACGCAAAAAGAGAGGTGGTAAGTATAAGTTTGACGTCGATGTCTGTCTGTTTGTCTGTGTGTGTGTCTGTCTGTGGCATCGTAGCTCTCAAACGGATGGACCGATTTCGTTGCGGGTTTTTTTCATTTGAAAGCCAGTTTCCTTGCGGTAGTTCTCAGCTATGTTTGGTTAATATCGGTCCAGCAGTGTAAGAGTATCAGCTCTTTTCCAAAATGATGTAGGGCATTTTGGCGTATGATTACACGATTAAGTTTTTTACTTTTTAAGGATTGTTCCGTAAACTATAAGTATTTTTTGCGTAGTGGGTTTTTTAAATCTTTAATTTATCATTATTATTATAAATAAATAGAGGTGCAATTAAGAACAAAAATACTAAAAGATATTTTTATTAATACTATATAACCGTCTCCATACCGTTTTTTTAATAACGTTTTTATAGCATTTATATATTTTTTTTACTTACAATTTCCATTTGATCCTGATCCTGATCCTTGTAAATGAACTAACTGAACACAAAAACAAAACAGAAAAAACACGCAAGATTTCATTTTGATCACAATTTACAAAAACAGTTCGCGCCAAAAAAAATTAGTATTAACTTTTTAATTTAAGCATACACTGGTATACATACATACAGCCAAAAGTGTAAGAAAATATGTATTATTATTTTAATTTTAATATTATAAAAATATTAAAATTTATTAATCCGCGTATGTCCACATCGTATTCAATGCCGTTTTACGACATAACGCGGTAGGAATCGACTTCGGACTGACGCTTCAAGGCAAATGAGTATTATAATATAAGGGGATAAACCGACCTATTTCAAAAGATGCAGAGATTTATTAATAATCCAATTAAAAATAACAAAAACCAAGACATTGCTATTCATCATCATATAATAAATCAGGTATTTTTAATCGCAGCAGAGTTTTTTTGTCTTTATAATTTAAATGTTAAAGATGTGAACGCTGCGAAGTGCGAAAATATTTAAGTAAAGGTGAAGGCTTACAAAATTCATATTTGGAATTACATTTACGTTATTTGTTTAACGTAGCCGATAGTTTAAAACTACATAGTATTAAACAAAAAAGGTTTAATAAATATAAACAAATTAATTGAATTTAAAACTTTAAATGGTAGCTTTAACGGTTAATAATTAGTAAAGACTTCTGAGAGAGATGAGATATTTTCCCGCAGTAAAAAGTATCCTATATGTTGACCCGGATAACCAGCTATCATCATACCAAATTTCATCAATTGCTGTCCAGTGGTTTTCTCGTGATGCATTTCCAGACAGACAGATCTATAGCGGGACAGGCAGACAGACAAAAATCCAAAATTATAGATTCGGTCTCTGTATAGATAATAATGACTATATCAATAAGATTTTCCAAAAAATACTGGAGTACAGATTCGACTCAGAATTGTATTATAGGGTCTGAACTACCCAAGTAGACCAATGTTGTTTGTGTAATTGTTTATCATATAACATCAGTACTAAAAATTAGAAAATAAATTATATAATAGGTATGTAAGTAATATATGTACGTAATTAAAAGAATCTTATGTAAAGTTAATGTAGATGAGTTGAGATGTAAGGCAGTGGTAGCCCAGTGGTAACGCGCTCTATTGGGAAACCGAGTGAAGCGGGTTCAAACCGCGGATCTCGCGCCTTTGATATTTTCATGTGCGAATCATTTCCAACATGATTACCACTTATCTTACGGTGAAAAAAACATCGTGAGGAAACCTGTATGTCTGAGAGAATTTCACAAGTTTTCGAAAGTCATGTGCCCGCACTTGGCCAACGTGGTGGATTATGGCCTGATCCCCTTGGTATTGGGAGGCCCGTGCCCAGCAGTGGAACGATAAAAAGGGCTGAATACATATCAACATACATACATACAATATAGATTAACAAGAAGAAAACAAGATATTCTTTTTAATTTTATTTCTAACACAGTCGTATAAACTAGGCTTGTCCAAAGAGGTTGACTGTCTAGGAAGTTACACAATAATACTCCGTCTGTGGAACCAAGAAACGTCACCTAAGAGCAAAGAATCGTAATAGCTAGTATAAAATGAAATGAAGTTAAACGTTTTATATAAAACTAAGTTTATTTTAGCTGGCAGACACTGTTATACTTTTTTCAGATTTTAAATTTTATTAATGACTCGTCACGCATTAAGCCCACATTTTTAGTTTTTTTTTATCACTAAACCAAAATTTACTGTCATTATGTGAAGTAAATCTTAATCCATAAAATCTTAACATGTGAAAAAAATTTTATATCTATGGAATCACATAAATAACGCCTAAAATCCATTAAAAAAAATTCTCTCTGATATTCGCGTTCATTAACTGCGTAAGGACAATTTTGACCAGTTTTGACCCCCTCTACCCCCATTTAAGAGCACATAAGATTTCTCACACTCCGCCTCTCTTTTTACGTAAAATTTTAATTGGTTTTAGAAAAGGATCGATTGAACTAAAACTCATAATTTGACGTAAATCAAAGTTTTTATTTTTGAAATTTATAATGCTTAAAATATTAAATCTATATATATAATAAAATTGTAACTAAGCCCAATCTGTACATTAAATATTTATTGAAAAATCTTATTGAAATAAACATTATTATCGATACAGAGGCCGAATCTATAGTTTTTAGAATCTCTGTCTGTCTGTCTGTTACCGCATCACAGAAAAACCATTGGAGGTATTTTTATGAAATATGGTATGGTGATAGCTGGTTATCCGGGTCAACATTATAGGATACTTTTTATCGCGGGAAAATGTCTCATTTTTGAGAAAAAATACAAAAACTGCAATGTAAGAGTATACTAATATGTAAAACCTAAGAATTTGGTTTGTGGTCATCTGAACGCGGGCGGAGCCGCGGGCAATGCTAGTTTATAATAAATGTTCATTGAAAAAGAAAAATTAGATCTCAGAGTTGTTTTCCCTAACGCTTGGCTCTCAAATATCCACCACTCTATGTTAGAAATCGCACATTTCGACTTATAAAATATTACGTAAGAATAGTTTTTGCCCAGAATATTCGGTTAATATAACGAATACATAATTAATTATCGAATGTTTAAATTAGAATATTTTACTGCCTCAGTAGTGTGGTGGCTAGCATGTACGGATGCACATCCGGAGCTCTTGGGTTCGAGTCCCGGGACGGTTTAGTTATTATTGAGTCTTTTTGTTAAGAAACACCCAGTAAAAATAAGCCGGAGTTGGGAAGTTGGTGGTGTTTCACCTCCATTCCATGCCTCGGGGACTACAAAACCCGTTGGTCTTGCGCCCGATCTATCATGTCATGTCGAATTAGGCCGAATATTCATATTCAGTTTAATCCAATTTCGGTGCATCTCTAATTCATAACATACATACAGGTCGAACATTTAACTCCTTTGGATCTTGCCATAGTTGATTAAAAAGTTCACAATTGACAAATGTTTCAAGTAATTCTGATCTTAAATAATTTTTTGGGTAGCATTATAACGTGTTTTCCCGTGGGAATGAGATAATCTCCCGCGGTATAAAATAGCCTATACTACTCTCCAGCCCTCAAACTCTTTCCACACAAAAATCACGCAAATCTGTCAATCCGTTTCGACGTGAAAGAAGGACAAAACAAACAAACAAACAAACACACTTGACACGTTTGGCTCAGTTTGTAGTGACCCTACTTTCTGTGCCAGCGGTCGCGGGTTCGAGTCCCACTGGGGGCATTCATTTGTGTGATAAGCATGAATGTTTGTACTTCAGTCATGGGTGTTTATATTTGTAATATGTATGTATTTAAATCTATGTAATATGTGTAGTGTATTAACTATATGGTATCCATAACACAGCCTCATAGCTTACCATGGAACTAGATGATGTTGTGTTAATGTCCCAACATATTTACACTTTCACATTTATAATATTAAGTATGGATATCTAGTATAGTTATATGTGATCTGTGGTAATATTGACTTCCACGTGAAGATCCGTTTTAAAACTATTAAATAATATCAGAATCGATTTAGAATTTGATGTAGAACGAATGAAAATAATATGCCTAATTAGCCTGAACGCCATTCAAATGCCACAAGTAAGTACCTACCTAATGCTAGTGTACAATAAAACAAGTTTCATTGAAAATATTATTTAATTTAACAATATAAAAAACCAAATATACAAAAACAGTCATTTTAACAGAATAATTTAGCTCAAACAATCTATTACTGTCACATCTAAGGGGTCTCATTGGGGGTTCTACAAACCGAACCCCTGTAATGGGTTAAACAACGTGTCTTAAGGGTTTAGGGTTCCATATATTTCTCCAAAGGTTCATGGTCTAAAGATGGGTAGCTATTATAGCTGCTGATAGAAGGTTCACTTGTGTCGGGATACTTTAAAGTATTCGCTACGCTATCTGTTTGACTAGTATTATCATTAATTTCAACTCCACGGGATCTAAGCACTTTCCTTCTACCATTCCGGGATTGGATGTTGAAATATTTCATTATATTGCTTGTATAAGCATCGCCGTAGTTACGTCGAGTTTTTTGTATTGTCACTTTTTTATTCTTAGCTTTTTTAGTCCGAGGTCTTTTTCTCCTTTTTCTAGATACACTGCGCCTGCGAGGCTTAGGCTTACAACATCTAGGTTTTATTTTAAGCTTTTGCAGTTTAGCCAATTGCCGCAATTTATCGCAGGCGATGCATTTCGGATTAGAATTACGGGTTTTGTTCGGATTGATCTAAAATATAGGAGTTTTTAGATATAATTTTTCACCTAAAACTTTGTCTGGCTCAAAATATCAGATCTACTGTAATTCTATTCTAAACAGCAAAACTGATACAATACAAGACTCCATTGAAGTCGACTTATTTATAGTTACTAGCGGCTCGGGTTTGCCTCTAGAAAAAAAAAACAAGTCTATCCCGCGGGAAACGTAATTTTCCGGTATAAAAAGTATCTTATGTGTTATTTTGTTGTATGAGCTATATTATTGTAAAGTTTCATTAAAATCCATTCAGTAATTTTTGCGTGGAAGAGTAACAAACATCCATACATCTATACATCCTCACCAACTATCGCATTTATAATATTAGTAGGTTTGGTAGGTTTTTGTAACCATATGTGAGAATTATACATAATAATACCATATCTAGTGGCCCTTGCTTCGTTTGCAATTGAAGAATATAAAAAATAACGACTTTTCTATAATTTGCATAATTATAATAAGCATGCGTTGCACATACTCGTATAAATCTTCAGGAAAAAAAATATCTAACATTTAGATGACATTAAAAATTGTATCAAAATCCATTGCGTAGTTAAAAAGAAATAAGCGCACTAACAGACAGATAGGTACCGATAAAGATTTCAATTTTACTATTAAAATATTCATATTTTAAAGGCTTTCTATCAACTCATATTGAAGGCAAGCCCGTGTCCAGGAGTCGGACGTTATAAAGGGCTGTGTAAGCCGATCTCAATAACCTATATAATTTACATATTATATAAATTTTTCCTTTCCTATCTATCCACGGTTTTTCTTACTAGAGATAATTTAAGTTACGTGTATTCAACCCTTTTTAACGTCCCACTGCCGGGCAGGGCCTCGCTTCGCAGGACCACGCTGGCCAAGTGCGGGTTGGCGGACTGCACATGTCTTACTAAAATTTGCTAGGTTCTCAGTCTCACAGACATGCAGATTTCCTCACGATGTTTTCCTTCATCGTAAGACAAGTGGTAATCACGTTAGAAATGATTCGCACATGAAAATATCAGAGATTCGGGTTTGAACCAGCTTCAATTTCCTAAGCGAGCGCGTTACCACTAGACTACCACTAGATAGGTTTCACGACACGTTTCGCTTAGTTTGTAGTGACCCTACTTGCTATGCCAGTGGTCCCGGATTCTTGTCCCGCTGGGGGCATTCATTTCTGTGATAAACACGAATGTTTGTACTCCAGTTATGGGTGTTTATATTTATAATATGTATGTATATAAAGTTATATGTATATATGTATCTGTTATCTATAAAACAAGCCTCGTAGCTTACCATGCAACTAGATGGTAGGTACTGTGTTTAATATCCCAACATATTTATATATTATAGGTTATTGATATCTAAGTATATATATAATTGTACTTCTCCTTGTACTTCCTATTGTACTTCTCTCATTACCTGGATGACAGATTTTCGCTTATCCAGTTCGTCAACGAGCTTAGGATAAGCCATGTTATGCTGTAAGACCTTATCCACTTTATCAGCACTCGCTTGAGCCCTTGCCTCGTATTCCGCTTCATGAGCATCACGGAACTGATCAGCGCTATTCGGGTTTTTCTGGAAATTATTTTAAATCTATTTATCTATACAGTGGCGTAACTAGCCTTTTTGGGTACGATTTTTTTTGTTTAGGCTTTTGCTTAAAAATTAACACAGGTACTTGAATCAGCTATTCGAGAGTGACAACCGATCTCAATAGAAATTCTTTATAGGTACTATTTACTAAGATATTACAAGATTCCTTTGAATGTTACAGGATCAAATCCTCCTACTCTCATCAAATACACATTTTTTTATCAATAGGTCTGACATTTTTAAATGCAAAATTCTAAAATGCTTAATTTTCTGTTAATAATCGCCATCTACAGTAGATACGTAATAAGACTCAATACCGGAGCTGGTTTCAAATCTTTCATCGGTTCGGGCCCCTCATCCATTTTTCTGCGATTTTATCATACCCCTTTTCTGTCACGCAACTCAAATTTTTTACACAAATAATATAAATAATATAGAATTTTTAAATGCAATTTACATTCTTTTTATAAATAAATAAACTGACACATGAACTAAAATATTTTGACAAATAATATGAAAACGTCGTTTTAAACTATTTGTCATTTTTTTTTAATTACGTATTCTTCTACAAGTCAAATGCTACGTACTCAACAGCCTACAATATTTTTGCGAAATATGTGTACATATTTATTCTAACTTATAAATCTTATTATTGCAGAGCCTTTTTACAAGCAAGCTCGCAATAGAAAAGGGGGTAAACTTGCCAACGATCCACCTGATGGTAAGGTAAGCTCATACAAAAAGTTGCAAATGCTCAATGCATTGCTGGCCTTTTTGAGGTAAGCATGAACTTGTTATAGTGCTTAAGCTTAAGCTTACTATTTATCATATGAAAAATTAAAATTAAAAAAATTAAAAATATAATGGTTCCCACGAAATACAAACGAGCATACAACTTCATATTAGAAATATACGGAAAATATTTCACCAATTATGATAATAATAAGGTAAAATTAGATAATTAACTCCTCAAAGTCTTATATATGGATTGAGGAATAACTATCCTATAATTAAGAATTTGACTGTTAAGGAAGGACTAGAGGGGCTCAAGGCACGGAGCTCTCATAATGTAACATAATAATTAAATTATATTACCTACACAAAATCTATCCCACTAATATTATAAACGTGAAAGTAATTCTGCCAGTTAACTTTTCACACTTGAAACGCTGAACAGATTTCGATAGTTTGGCAAGGGCATAAATAGCATCCTGGAGATGGACATACGCTACCTTTGATCCTCACCTCACTCCACTTACCATGCGAGTAAAGCCGCAGGCAAAAATTATTACAACATAAAATTATATTAATAAATAATTTAGGTACTTTCCCTCTGCTGGGCAAGAGCCATCATGGGAAAAGGGTAGTCTTTATGGACTTTACTTAACTTTCGAATTATAGATAAGTTCTCTCAGATAAGATGAGTTGTCTTCCTGATCGATTTCGACCACGGCGGCCAATCCCCCTGATATTAGCTATCTGCGCAGGATATATTATGGTACACAAGTTCGCATAGATACCAGGCACTCTCTATTCACTCTCATACTCCGGTTGAACGACAATTAGATACGACCAGTGAGAGATCATAGGTAGGACCCGAAGGCTTTACGTGCTCTCAGAGGCACGGTGGTGAAACACCACCAACCTCCCAACCCCGGGTTGATATAGACTTATTTATCAGAACGACGCAATAAATAAATTTGGCCCGATCCAGGACTAGAACCCAGAACTTCCGGATCTGCAGCCGTACAAGCTAGCCACAAGTTATACCACGATGTTCTTCTTCACCATTGTAGTGAATATACAATTTAAAATGATTTGCTTAAATGACATAAAAATCTTTTAAGCACAACACCCAAATTTGAATCACCATCAACAATCAGAAATTTGGAAGCTCAATGCTCAAAACCAATGAACTGCTAGCTGCTAAGCCTCTATAGATTGTCATTAGTAATGTAAAATGTAAGTTTGACTGTAAACTACTGCTAACACTAACAAATTCCAAATAAATGTTGGCTGTTAATCAATTTAAAAATGTAAAAATGAGTCTGTCTGTTTGCTTGGTTTTCATGGCAAGGGTAAGCTGATTTAGATAAAATTGTATACAAGGATATCATGAACAGATATATATTAGATCTCAGATGTTTATGTATAGATTACATTTTAAAATCTTATGAGTGTATAATAACATGAAAAATTAGTAACATGAACAAAATGACCGAGCAAAATTAAGATTATTTCCTTTGCCGCTTCGTTGTTGTTAACAGCTTACAGATAAATATGTAGTAATAATAACTATACCATACCATAGTAAGACTTGAATCTTTTATTGGAATTGGTCCCGCACCCATGATTGTGTAATAAAATTATTTGCATTAGCCTCTGAATTATTTATAATTTTAAATTTTTAATAGAAGAAACTAAAAATGTAGCTCCTATATACTTCAATTAAATAATAAACACTCATATATTTTTCACCAAGATTTCCCTGTATTTAAAATTGTCAATTTTTGATAGAAAAGTCAAAATAGATGTCATATTTCTTACAGATATATTTCTTTAAGTTTTTTTTTATAGTTTACAAAAAGTAATTTCTACACATATTTGGCATTGTCATCTTTTTAAAATAATTTAATTTTGAATGGCTCAAATAATTTTCATTTTTATAATGTAATCTATATTAATATTATAAAGAGGTAAAGTTAGTGTCTGGATCTACTGAACAGATTTAGATGAAATTTGGTAAGAAGATAGTTTGAGACCCTGGGAAGCACATAGGATACTTTTTATCTCAGAAATCATACCTTAGGGGGTGAAAATGGGGATGAAAGTTTGTATTGGGAATCAAGAGGGACGAAGCCAAGTGAAGCGAGGGCAAGTCCCTAGTATATTATAAAGGATTAAAGAGAGATCGAATGAAAAATATAAATCTATATTATTTCCATAAGAGCAGCTAATTCAGAAAATGCTTAAGTAATAAACTAATATGACCAGGTTCAGATTTGACTTAGTAAGCATATCACTAAACTTAGATTACATGTTTTTTTTTAATTTCAATTAAAACATTTTTCTGTAAGAGAAATTTGTTCCATTTAATTGTTTTTCTAAAAGACTTTATGTTAGTTTTATGACAGGTGAAATAAAAAAGCAATGCTTAAATATTAATGTATTACAAAGTTATCACAATATTCCTTACATATTGTACATTAATACCAAACGTTTAGAAAATCAGTACTACACTGATAAAGATGAAAAATAAAACTCTTTTTTGGTAGGAATAAGGCTGTAATCACCGAAACTTAAGATCTATGAAACACTGTAAATGCAGTTTATCGTCTGCCACGGCCGCGGCCTCCTCGGCCTCCTCTAGGTCCTCCACGACCACCTCGTCCTCTTCCTCTACCACCTCTTGTACTACCCCGAGGGAAGCCTTCACGTTTACCCTTGCCTTTAGGTGCATCATCGATAAGCAAAGTTTCCAATGGTAAACTGTCAGGAAGCAGGTAATATCTAATATTGTTTCCACGTATACTTAGCGTCTCTAACTGCAGCTCTTCTTTATTTTTTAAAGTAACTTTTACAGCTTTAAGATGTGTGTTCATAGCAACATCAACACCGGTGATGGTTCCATGGACGACGCTACCGTTCTTCAACTCAATTGTAACCGTCTCATGACTTAGCTTCATCAAAAATCTCACTAGTTTCATGTTTGTTGTTTTAATTTATTAACTAATTTAATCAAAACAAGTAAGGCGTCGGTTTACAGATCTTAACCTCAAAACTTCGTCCAAACAAAATATGGCGGTTCAACAGAAACGTCAATTTGCATTTGTTATATGATGTCTATGGTTAAATAATAACTATAGTACATGTTAAAAAAAAAGAAAATCATAGACAATATATTAATCCTTTTATTCTTTTTTTCATACATGATGGCTTCTGGACTTTGAAACTTTTTATTCTTACTTCATTATAAAAATTATACTTTGATATTTTTTATGACAAAGTAAAAATTTCAAATATCTGTCACACTGCAAGAAACACGTTTATTGAAGCTTCGTGCAGTTAAATTTTCTTATTAATAATTATGAATGTTGAAGTAACTATTGATGAGCCTGAAATTGATATAGAAGTTGAGGAAGAGGAACAGCAAAAAACTGTTTGTGCTAGACTTGTACTTACAAAAAAGCAGGTTTATTCACTTTTAATGTTGCATTATTTAGATTTTAATAAAATTACGATTAACAATAAGACAAGCTTAAAATACTTTATGCTATATCTTATATGAATAAAAGCATAAAAATGCTTCGTTATTATACTAAGCAACGTAAGTGTTCTGCACAAAGACAATATCTATTTAAAAAAATATAATCAGGATGGTTTATTTAATCGATACTTTTGTTACTTCATAAATTACAAATATTTGAAAATGGATAGTGCTATGTTAAATCTATCTGTAACTGCAGATATTTCTGATAAAGAAATAGAAGAATTAAAACCCAATTATGAATTTAAAGAAGTCGATGCTCATTTAATTTTAACTGAAAAACAGGTACATGTGACGCAAATGAACATTATATATTAATTGCTAAGTTTTATTTAACACTAGCGACTCACTTCGTCCCTACTTACGTTTTTACGTTTATTATCGAATTCTCAGAGATGAGATATTTTCATGCAGTAAAAAGTATCCTATATGTTGACCCGGATAACCAGCTACCATCATACCAAATTTCATCAAAATCCTTCCAGTGTTTTTTCGTAGTGCGTTAACAGACAGAGAGACAGACAAAAATTCTAAAAACTTTAGATTCTAGAAAAATATTTAATATACAGATTCGGCTTATTCACCATTTTATTATATGTAAAGATTATATCAAATGAAGTAATCCATGACGGATTCAAACGTTTTATTATTTTGTAGAATACAATAAATTGTACAATACGATCCTTTTATTATAATACACGTTACTTTTATAAAATTACTTTCTAGAAGAACGATCTCCGTGAAGCCTTCAACCTTCTTGATTACTCTGGAGAAGGAAAGATAAAAGCTGAGGATTTTCGCGTAGCAATTAAAGCTTTAGGTGAGATAATGAGAAGATGTTATCAATAACTAAAAAAACTTTTACAGTTCTCTTTAATCGAACATCTTTGCATAAATAAAACCAGCAGTCCGTCTTGTTATGTATTGTATTATATTAGTAAATTAAATATTTATATTTTTGTTTAGTGCAGTTTTAATGTTGAACATTTCGTTAAAATTTTATATTACCGTTTCTCTGCTATTAGGTTATGAACCAACAAAAGAAGAACTTCAGAATATGATTAATGGCGTCGATAAAGGGCAATCTGGGAAACTGAGTTTTGAAAATTTCGAAACGGCCATTATGAGAAAAATTATGGCACTTGATAGCGATGGCGATATCATGAAGAGCTTTCGACTTTTCGACGTGGATGATACAGGTGTTATATATTAATTATGGCTAATTTTGTTTGATACATTAAGAAAAAAAAACAAAAAATTTTACACAAAATTACAAAATATTCCTTTTTTTTATTATTAATAATTTTGCCTAGGTTTAATAAGCTTCGAAAATGTGAAACACGTGTGTGAGATACTAGGGGAAAATTTGACTGACGAAGAAATAGAGGAAATGATAGATGATGCTGATAAAGACATCGATGGATATGTAAGACTTAATTCATTATTGATTACTAGCAGAACCCGCGGCTTCGCTCGCGCTAAAACTACAAAAAAACTCTAAAAAGGTAGCCGATAGGTTTCATACAAACTTTCATTCCCTATTTTACCTCCTAATAAGATAAATTTCGAAAAATGCTAAAACACGTATTTAATTAATTGTATTGAAGAGTATTAATACCAAGTGTCATGTAATTCTGATCATAAATATTTTGTTGAATTGTATTATAACGTGTTTTCCCGTGAGGAAGAGATAGGTAATCTCCCGCGGTAAAAAGTAGCCTCTGTCATACTCCAAGCCTCCAACTATGACACAAAAAATCAAGCCAATCCGCCAAGCCGTTTTGATGTAAAGGAAACACAAAGAAACAAACAAACACACTTTCAAATTTATAATATCAAGTATCGAAATACCTCATTAAATTTTTTGATAATTATTTATTGTCTTTTCCCGCCAAAGTGCGACGACGACCACAACCATTTTATTTGTCATCCATGACCACAACGTCTGTAATGTCAATGTCAATTATTGTCAAACAACAGTGATCAAAATATGATCATATGTATCGAAAGTTATGGCGAGTTGAATTTGATAAAATTTATTTTTCAGATATCAGTGCAGGAATTCATGAGAATGATAAAGAACTCTGTAAAAATTGTAACACCTTAAAAGAACTTGTTTAACTCCATAGAAATAAACTAATTACAGTAAATCTTATATGTATTTTTAATTCATACTTTCTTCATTGTTTTACATTCAATATGCAATACAGTTCTTTTGTTCAGAGGGAAATTCAAATATTCGAAGATAATTGTAAAGTTTATAAAGATCATACATTTAATTTACCGACAATATTTTTTACTTTTTAGTGCTTTTGTTTGAAGTCGGTTTTTTTTTAAGTTTTTATTTTTCCCTTTTTAGTGTAGACAGTAGTAGCAAAGTAAGAATTCTAACGTATTAGGCTTGTCAAATCAAACAAAACAAGCCCAAAATCAAAGTATCTACTATTAGCCGTTGAAGAGTGCCACCTATCCACCTTCTGGCCTTACCATCAGATCAGGTCAACAATGCCGAACCACCGTACTATCAACGGAAATAGAAACACTTGCAAAGTTTCAAGTAAATATGACAATTAGAAGTAGGTTAAATTCATCATTAGCTATTTTTCCACCCTTAGGGGTGGTATTTTTTTTTTGAAATTTAAATGGGACCAATCTGGAAGTATACACTTTCAAACAACACAAAAATTGTCCAAATTTAAAAAAAGCATTTCAGTTTCCGTCTTTTGAAAAGAATTTCGTCATAATAGCTGAACTTGCATCGACGCCCGCGGTTATTAGTTTGTCACTCTATATTCGAGAGTATAGTTCTATATTTGAGAGACCTGCAAAGCTTATAAATGTATATGCTTGTTTTAACAGACGATTTATTTGCTACTACGAAACAGATTTTAATTTTATATTACGTTGTAACATAATAAATTAAATATAACGGGGAAGAATTTTGTCATTTTCTTCCGCCAGATGTCGTGATCACTATTATCCTCATTATATTGTTTAGCAATAGTGTGGATGGATTTTTTTCTTTTTATGTAAAATTTAATTAAAACAAATTGTCCAGTACCAAGATGCAAAAAAAAAGGATATTATTTGTTAACAAAAGACGAAAACTGAAGAAATTGTGGGCTAAAGCAATAAGACGACCAAAATTGGGAAATCATAATCTTTATTTTTAAGGCGTATGCCTTATGTGGATATCATTTTGAAACAAAGTGATTTTAAAACTCTTAAATGGCCTACAGGTGAATATTTTTTTTAATTTTTTGTAGTTTTTTACATTTTCATGTTTCTACGACAAGCGGTTTAGGCTGTGGGTTGATCCATCATCAGTCATTCAAGATCACCACAGGATGCACCTCTCCTTCTAAATTCTTCCTTTAGCTAGTGTAACTTCCAGGTACGTACAATACATTGCACAGATATGATGCAAACACAATAAAAGCAAAAAACCAGTTATAAAAGAGATATCACAATAAATTGCTTAACCTCAGACTGAATGTATATAGGCGGTACGTGTGGCGCCCTCCTTTCGAGAATTCTTCCCTATTAATGTCAATTTTTAACGAAGTATTTATAATCTGTGAATTCGCCGTTAGCGGTTAGTGATTTATTGATGTTTGTACTTTGAAAGTTTAAATTCTTGAAATGTTTTCAAATGTAGAATAGCAAATATTAAATATTTGCCATAAATGCATTAAATCATAAAAGTTCTTAAATAAATAAAAAGGATATTTACTGTAATTACGAATATTTACTTTTTAATAATGGGTACGTATTTTCATTATAGATAGAGTGATGTTGTATTACTTATTTTAGGACATGTTTTCCTTACTGCTTAGTTGTGTGTTTCATTTTAGATAATGAAGAAATGACCTTAGAAGAGAAGTGTGAACACTTAATGAATGTTGTTGTTGAGTCAAGAAAACGTTTTGGGAAAATGTGTATAGAGTACGAACAAAAGTCATCGTTAATGGAAAACAAATTATTAAATCTCCAATTAGAGACAATATCCAATTATAGGTTTAAATCAAAAAGTACCTTACCAAATATTAATGCTGAAGATATGGTTAAAAATGTAGATGATTTTAAAGTCGAACTTTTAGAAGCACAAAAAAGAATAGATGACCTACAAAATCGTATAAAAGATACTCATAAAGTAGTATTACAATATAAATGTGATAACATTGGAAAGAAATTGCTTAAACCATTGAATGCTGAAGCTATGTTGGTGGCTGCTAAAAGTAAAAAAATGTTGACTGAAAAAGAAGAATAGTGATAGTTTTAAAAGAAACTAAACAATATTTGTCACTATGTAATATAATATTTTTAGTCAAAATCTATCCATTATATACAATCATGTGCTAACTGGCGCTTGTGGATTAAAGGAATTTTTATTAAAATATATTAATTACTTATGTGTTTGATACACTATATTAAAAAGTGTCCACTCTACATTTTTTTTGTTGAGAAATACCTACTTTTTATAAAAAACCACTATTGTTTCAGTTTACGGGTAAAGGTTTTTAAGACTTCTGTTTACGGACACTAGGATTGTTCGTGTCTGTGCATGCTAAAGTTTATTTTTTGTTGGATGATATGCTATATGTTGAAGTATACCTTATATAAATCAAAAACTATATAACACAGAAAGACATTATGGATAGTAACAAAATTTCACTTGAACTACCAATGCTAATTATAGGATTTTTTTTAAATGTTGGAATAGTTATATTATGAGAATGTACTTGAAATAATCGAAAAGGTTTAATAAAAGCAATTTTTATAATTATTATATGTAATTTTTTTTTCGAAAATTATTTTAATAAAACATTAAACAGCTTAGAGAAATTTTAACTAAAATAGATATGGCATAAATTAACTTATGGCATTTGTATTATATGTTAAAAGTTACCACTGCACTAATATGCATTGTATAACACTGGTAAGGTTTTTTGTATATCAGTGCATGCCAGTTAATTTTCTCCTTCACAATTATATTTTTATTTTTTAACTTGTGACTGTTGCAGCTGTCTATGTTATAAAGCTAGCAAATTTTTGTTTTTAGGTAAATTAACAATTTACTGTACAAGTTGTTGGAATATAAATATATTATTTTAAATAAATAAAGGTAGCAAATGCGCTTTTTCTTTGTATGAAATACATTTATAAAATAATTACTCATGAATGTATTTAGATTATGAGCTAGTGAGGTAGTTATATTTACTAACAAATTATTCATAATCTTCATATTTAAGGAATAATTGATGATTAAATAAATAAATTCATAATTTTAAAAATATATCATTAGCTATATTTTAGAAAATATTGACTTTTTGTTTGTAACCAGTATATTTAAATTACTGTTTTTAACCAAAGATGTTTTTTCTTTAAACTTAACGAGTTGCGCTAACGGACGCAGTACATTGAAGACGCGTATGATTTTTCATTTTGAGCGCCGGTAATTTTGAAATTTAGCAGTTTTAAGTTAAAAAAACTTTTAACATGGAATTAAAACCACAAACCAGGAACAACAAGATGATTAAAACTACAAATGTGAAATGAATGATCGGTCTATAGGAGCAACCCCAGTATATTACTATACTCTTTGGGAGCAACCTACAACAAAACAAAGATAGTTAATAATTATTATTACTCGATACAAAAATGGCACAATAACTGAAACTGAAAATATGTTTGTAAATAATTTAATTTTATTGTCTATATATAAATTTAACAATTTTTTTTTGATAATTGGGCTAAACACAAGTGCTAATAAACATTTAATGAATTTTAAATCATTTTTGTTTTTTATCATAATGTAAATAGTAAATACCATAGATAAAATAACGTAAATGACGAAAACTGTACTCTCACTTTTATACCTACCCTACCCCAGCCTGCAAATTTATGATATTCGCAATGAAAAAAATACTAATCGATAGATTTTTAATAGCTCAATTCAACTACGTAGCCCTTCCAAATTGCTCACCATTAATTATAAAATTAAAAATCAATAAAGTCCTTGAAAAAAAAATTCATTTATCCGTATATTCAAATTTCTATATCTTTTGATATATACAATATTTTAAATTGCTCAAAGTTCTAAAATACTGCTCAAGTTGCATTTGTAATTGCTCAAGTAGAGTTCTCACCAGCTCCACTTTCCTTAATTATTAAATAAATATAAATAGTTTGAATAAATTTAACGTATAGATAGGTGAGTGCTGCGCATGCGCGCAAACAGTAACGCGAGTCGCAAGGCAAAAAATCAAGTGTTTCATAACCTCATCATAGTGAAATGAAACTGTAATACTCCAAGCACAACATCATCTATTATCAGGTATTTTTATTATTTATTGACTTATTCATTATGTTCAATTTATACAAAAATCAAATCATGACTAAAAGGTAACTTTATTTTGTAACTTTATGTCTGTTTACAAAGTATTTTCTATATATTCTTCTTTGCTCCAAAACAAAATAAGTAGTAGTATACATGCTCATTATGTTTGCTGGATATTTTTCACTTTTTGACTAAAACTAAAAAATGCTAGAATAAATATAGCTAAAATATACAAAACAGACATAAAGTTACAAAATAAAGTTACCTTTTAGTCATGATTTGATTTTTGTATAAATTGAACATAATGAATAAGTCAATAAATAATAAAAATACCTGATAATAGATGATGTTGTGCTTGGAGTATTACAGTTTCATTTCACTATGATGAGGTTATGAAACACTTGATTTTTTTGCCTTGCGACTCGCGTTACTGTTTGCGCGCATGCGCAGCACTCACCTATCTATACGTTAAATTTATTCAAACTATTTATATTTATTTAATAATTAAGGAAAGTGGAGCTGGTGAGAACTCTACTTGAGCAATTACAAATGCAACTTGAGCAGTATTTTAGAACTTTGAGCAATTTAAAATATTGTATATATCAAAAGATATAGAAATTTGAATATACGGATAAATGAATTTTTTTTCAAGGACTTTATTGATTTTTAATTTTATAATTAATGGTGAGCAATTTGGAAGGGCTACGTAGTTGAATTGAGCTATTAAAAATCTATCGATTAGTATTTTTTTCATTGCGAATATCATAAATTTGCAGGCTGGGGTAGGGTAGGTCACTTTTATTTGTCATCCATGACTCTGACTCAGTCCTAATCTGTGGATGAATACATAGATATTGTTTTAATCAGTGAATACGAAAAAATACTAGTGTTTTCAGTTTTAAAAAAAATTTAAACTTTTCGTTTTTATTAATTCATAAAAATACTATTCCAACATATTTTACTAATCCAATTTAGACAATATAAATATTTAATTCTTTAATATTTTTAAGTATGTAATAAAATTATAGAAATCATAATATTGTCAGTGAGTAACTACCATGTAACTAGGCAACTGTAATTGTTAATTTTAGCAAAAGGTCATATTTGTGTAGAACAGTTTTCACAAATATTCTTAACTAAAAATGACTGATATTCAAAGTGCATTTAAGAAACATGGCATAATACCAGATGTATTAACTACACCACCATCAGAATTGATAACAATACAATATCCTAGGGGTGTCAAAGTTGAAATAGGAAAAGAATTGACCCCTACTCAAGTAAAAGATAGGCCAACTGTGAAATGGGCATCTAAAGATACAGAATATTATACTTTAGCTATGGTGGATCCGGATGCACCTAGCCGTGAAAACCCTAAGTTTAGAGAATGGCATCACTGGTTAATCGGAAATATATATGGTGGCGATATTAATAAAGGTGAAGTCTTATCAGATTATATAGGATCTGGACCTCCAAAGGGAACAGGTCTACATCGTTATGTATTTTTGGTATATAAGCAACAAGAAAAATGTAATTTCTCCAATATTTCTAAGCTTCCTAATAATTCAGGTGACAAGCGTGGAAAATTTTCCATTGGAAAATTTGCTCAACAATTTAAATTAGGTCCACCGATAGCTGGGAATTTTTTCATTGCTAAATACGATGATTATGTACCAAAACTCTATGCTCAACTTAAAGGATAAAAGAAAAATCAGTGAACACAAAGTTCAATAACTAACAATTTGATAGTGTAAAACGTGCCTTAGATTTATAAAACTGTACTTGTCTATGGTTTCGATCGATAATTATTTCCGCCTCCGCGTGACATTCTCATTTTATGGTCCAGTCGCTCTATCATCCGCCATTACATTTTGGAGTTTGCGTAAATTGGTCGTTGCCCTGTCTGCGCGTTTAACAGCAGAGCGTTATCAGTGACATTGAGTGTTCGTGCGTCGTATCGCAGCGTTTTGTTAGAACAAAGAGTAGAGACGTTCAATCGTATGTCCATCCAGAATCTTAACACATTCGACCCATTCGCCGATGCTATCAAAAGCTCGGAAGACGACGTTCAAGATGGATTAGTCCACGTCCGAATCCAGCAGCGGAACGGGCGTAAGACGCTTACGACGGTGCAGGGCCTCTCGTCGGAATATGACTTGAAAAAGATCGTGCGGGCATGCAAGAAGGAGTTCGCGTGCAACGGAACGGTCGTGGAGCACCCAGAGTACGGCGAGGTGCTGCAACTGCAAGGAGACCAGCGCGAGAACATTTGTCAGTGGCTCACCAAGTCGGGACTGGTCAAGCCCGAGCAACTTAAAGTTCACGGCTTCTAAGCCGCGACACAGACACGTATCATGTCCGCCGCCGTGACATCATCATAGTTTTTCTAATATTATGAGAGCGTGCGCGTTATAACCCTATCGAATATGTATTTAGAAAGTACCGACGTTTACAGAGAATATCGGAACGAGGCCGCCCGGCCTCCCGCGCCCTGTGCCTTGCTGTCTCCCTTATAATGTAATATAAATATATTTTTGAATATCAACGCCGTCTCTTACATCTCGGACAGCTTTAGTTGCAATTAACGCCGAACGAAATAGTCAATAATCATTTTTTTGTTTTTTACGACATAATTATAAATTGCTGTAATGATTATAATATGATGTGTCTCAATTATTAAAGATGTTTTTGTACGTGTGACTTTCATTTATGTCTCAGTGGCGGTTGTGGCGTCCTATAACGGGACCGCGGCCGATGATTAATAGTGAAAGTAGGTGGGGCTTGCAAAGTGTGGAATTCCTTGCAAATTTTTCCCGCTTCCGTCATATTTGTCAGAAGTGACCTTAGTGTTCAACCTAACCTCAAAAATCCAAACAAAAAAACATTTATAAAGTAAAAAACAGGTCATTGCCAGTACATAACCTTATTTTGAGAAAGTTTAAAGTAAAATTATATTAGTTTTTAGATAAATAAGTTGGTTTATCTTAGATATAGTTTGTGTAATGTTAGTTCGTTGCATTGCATATAATGGCACGCAATTTCCACGAGGCCAAGCGCCGACGCATTATCGCGTCTACAAATAACCTGTTAAGTCTCACTGCAAACAAAGTGAACATAATAAATCTTGTTTAGCATGACTATTCAAGTTCATAATTTATACTTGAGGCTTGCCCGGTCTTGGCTCGGGTTCATCCTTAGGTGATTCTTTAAATTAACATTACATTTTTATTTATGAACCGACAGAAATAAGAAATACTAAACACCACAATACGTTAGTGAAAACCACACCCAAATCGGTGAAGCCGTTTCTGAGATTAGCGCGCCCAAACGCACAGACAAAACAAAAAGAAATCTAAAAATTATTTTGGGTCTAATCTATTGCATTAATAAAGATAGTTTTTCTCAAATATCTTCCATGTACGGTCAGCGATCAGTTACAATTATTTTATTATGTATGTGTACAGCTGATATACGTACATAAACTTACAACTTGTTAATTTTAATTTATGCTTAACGTTAGAATATTTTAACCTTAATCTTATTAAAATTAATTCAATCGTGTAGAAAGTATTCCTATTCATTAAAAGTAATTAATAATTATTTGTTTAATTAAAATTAGATGCTAATGAAGTCAATAAACTGAAAATTGTTATTTAAATGAGGATAACATTAAATACTTATTGTTTCTTGTTTAGGATTTAAATTATTAATCACTAGCGACTCACCCCCGCATCGCTCGGGTTCGTCCCTAGCTTGCTTTCCAATACAAACATTCATCCCCATTTTCACCCCCTTAAGGGATGATTTCCGGGATAAAAATTATCCTATGTCCTTCTCAGGGTCTCAAACTATCTTACCAAATTTCATCTAAATCGTTTCCGTAGATCCAGAGATTACCCCCTACAACGTCACAAACTCACAATTCGCTAACTTTATAATATTAGTATAGATTGCGGCTCTCCCTCGCTCTGCTCGGGTTTGCGTCTAGAAAAACAAAAACAAATATATCCCTCGGGAACCGTATATTTTTCCAGGATAGAAAGTAGCATATGTGGTATTCCAGAGTATAATCTATATCTGTGCCATATTTCATCCAGATCCGTTCAGTCGTTCTGGCGTGAAAGAGTAACAAACATCCATACATACTTACAAACTTTCACATTTATAATATAATTAATACGGATGAGAATACAGAAAATTACTTTTGTGCACTTTTATTAGTTAACAAACTTACATTAACACAATCTATAATTACATAGTTATTTTTAGGCACTTTGTTTGTTAACTATGTATAACTAGCATTGCCCGCGGCTCCGCCCGCATTCAGATGACCAAAAATCAAATTCTTAGGTTTTACATATTAGTATACACTTACATTGCAGTTTTTGTATTTTTAATATTAATTAGATTTTTATATTCTATATTTTATGCAGCAAATATTCCTGAATTTTTAGCTTTCATCCCTTTAAGTGGAAGAACCCATGAACAAACTAATATATTTTAACATGTTTGCCATATATAATTAAGTATTTGCATATGAATGATAATGAATTTTCTTGGTAGTAGCGTTAGAGCTGGTATAAATTTTCATTAGTAGCTCTTTCCAGTGTCACTTTTATTAATACTTAATGCAACAGTATAGATTCCTCAGAGATGAGATATGTTCCCTCAATAAATATCCTATATGTTTACCCGGGTCCCGGATAACCAGTTATCAACTCATCACAATCTGTCCAGTGGTTTTCTCGGGATTCGGTCACAGACAGACAGAAAAAAAATCTAAGAACTAGATTCGACCTCTGTATAATAATAATGACAATTTCAATAAGATTTTCCAAAAAATATTTAATGTACAGATTCGACTTAGTTGGAATTTTATTATATGTATAGATAATTAAAAGTATTTAACTGATCTAAGTAGACATTTTTGTATTGAAAATTAATAGAACACAACGTATAAGGAAGCTGAGTCACAAGGCTGAGGTCAGCTACTTCAATGATGACATCGACAGTATTATTGCGAATGCGTCATGTTATATATTATTTGTACGAGATGCTTCTACTTAGACTACCTATACTTGGGTTGCGTAATGAAAATGAAATTATATCAATATTGCTGGGAAATTTGTTGTTTGAACAGTTTGACTTTCATAATTCTGGTTGAATAAAAGTTATTTTAATCTATACCTACATGTAATAAAATTCTGAGTCGAATCTGTACATTAAATATTTTTTGGAAAATCTTATTGAAATAGTCATTATTATCGATACAGAGTCCGAATCTATAGTTTTTAGAACCTTTTTTTGGTCTGTCTGTCTGTGTGGGAACGTATCACGAGAGAACCACTGGACAGATTTTGATGAAATTTGGTATGATGATAGCTGGTTATCCGAGTAAACATATAGCGTATAGGATACTTTTTACTGCGGGAAAATATATTATATCTGTGAAATCTACACTAAACGGTAAAACGTATTTAGGGTCGGGTTGGTCCCTAATATTCTAGTTATTCAATATTTTCTTACATTTGCGCCAATAAAATCAAACGTTAAATAAAACTAACTCTTTTAATTTGTTCGCAGATTTATTCTGATTTCATATAAAGTTCACAACTTTTGATTGTTTTATACTTTATATCAAACTTAATGTCTCCCGTGGCCATGTTTGTTTCCACGAGTTGACCATGTTTGACGTGAAAAGCTTTTTTTTTATTGTTGTTGTACACAAGAAAATACCATTCAGTCCGTTTTAAGTGTTGCGTAAAGAGATACGTAGATATTTAAATTGTAAATTGTGTTTATTGCACACATTCTGAAAGTAATTTTGTATCGAAATAGTTCGTGGGGAATGACGTATTAGCTACTTTTTACCCGACTGTGGTGGCCCAAAGGAGGTTTTTGCTTGACCTATTATATCCTACACATATTCTTTTGTAATTACTAAAAGAAAGACAAAAGTACTGTGTGTATATAATTTCATATTATGCATTTTAGTAAAAAGCTGTTATTTTGAAATTACAAACAGATATTTCAATTTTATTTATGTGTAGTTAGAGTATAGATGTATAAATCTAACTGAAAAGTAAGAAGAAAAGTATAAAAAATTTGAAATTGCCATTCCAAAATGAATTTTCCTTAGTCACAGTAATTTCGTCGTAATTTACGCTGGCTTCGATTCAATGCAACACGCAATGCACGCGAGCTGTGAAGTGTACTGCAGTATATTTGTAAACTAGTACTGTAAACTGTAGTGTAAACTAGCGATTTATCCTTGCTTCACTCGGGTTTTTGAGCGGAAGTCTAGTTCTTTTTCTAAATTAAAAGTAGCCTAAGTTACTCCTTATAATAACAGCTATCTGCCAGTGAAAGTCCCGCCAAAATCGGTCCAGCCGTTACAGAGATTAGCCGGAATAAACAGACAGACAAACATTTTACAAATTGCGTTTTTCTTATATATACATACCGTATATAATTTCATATGCATTTACTAAAATGCTGTTATTTCGACATTACAAACAGACACTTCAATTTTATTTAACTGTATAGAGAACATGTCGGTTGGCTTGTCCTGCTTTAGCGTAACCCTGATCTATGAGATTTTTGATAGATATTATTTATAATAAACCATTTTCTATGTTAAAAGCCTTGTTGAAAAGAAGGTTAGCGTTAGTTTTCTTTATTTTTTTAAATTGGCAAAAAATGATGTTCTCCTGACCGATTCCGGCCACGGCGGCCAATCTCATTGAGACTAGCCAACTGCGCAGGAGATATTATAGTGCACAAGTGTATGCGCAGACACAACGTGCACTCTCTATTCCTGTCACTCTCATACTCCGGTGGGACGATTGTTCGACACGACCGGTGAGAGTTAAGGCGCAGGACCGACGGCTTTACGTGCTCTCCGAGGCACGGGGGTGAAACACCGCCACCTTCCCAACTCCGGGCTGTTACTGAGGCTTACTATACAGAAAGACTCAATAACTAAACTTGGCCCGACCCGGGACTCGAATCCAGGACCTCCAGGTGTGCAGCCGTACATGCTAGCCGCTACACCACCGTGGCAAAAAATAGAACCACAACAATCGCTATATGACATTAGGAAATCGTTACCAAATCCTTTTCTTATCACTATCTTGCTCTCTTTTTTTCTCTCTTTAAATGTAGACGAACATTTAAAGAAGAAGACCTTGTTTCCATTTCTTTCTTTTAAAGGGGCCTCCTTTCAATACGAGGGGGATCAGGTGCTCAAGAGGGGGACGTTAAAAAAGGGCTGAATACATAGGTAATATAAATTGGAGTTTTCATTGCCTTTATTGAAAAAAGCAGATCTCGATGGTGTCTTAAATTTTAACTCTAAAGGACATCTTAATGTACGATTAATCAATAAAAGCGACAAATCAGTTAATATGTTTATATATATTTTATTATTGTGACATTTAGAAAAAATCAAGAAGACTGAGGACTGGCGTCATTGAGTTGGCCAGTATCACCCAAGGGTGAGTGATTCTGGGCGACGCCTACGCCTGACTGTCGCTTATGAAAAGTACCGTTTTTCCGTGACACCATCCATACTAATATTATAAATGTGAAAGTGTGTTTGTTTGTTAGTTTATTTGTTTGTCCTTCTTTCACGTCGAAACAGTGGGACTGATTGGCGCGATTTTTGTGATAATAGTTGGAAGGCTGGAGAGTGACGTAGGCTACTTTTTACCGTGGGAGATTATCTTATTCCCACGGGAATAGAAATTATAATACAACCCAAAAAAAAAATATGATCACATATTCATGAAACTTGGTATAAATGCTTTTCAATACAATTAAATAAATACGTGTTTTAGCATTTGTCGAAATTCATACCATAAGGGGGTAAAATAGGGGATGGAAGTTTGTATGAAACCCGCCTCTTTAGACTTTTTTTTGTAGTTTCAGCGCGAACGAAGCCGCGAGTTCTGCTTGTATCTTTATAAATAATTGGCTTTGTGGTACTCTAATATACAAGCTATATTACTGTAAAGTTTCATCAAAATCTGTTTAATCGTTTTTGCGTGAAAGAGTTACAAACATACATACATTCTCACAAACTTTCGCGCTTATAATATTAGTAGGAAAATATTATAGAGTGCACAGTGGTAGCTTGAAAATGAATGTCTGGATCAAATTACCCGATTGTTGTAACTCTTAGGAATTTGTTGAACGTTTGTTGTTTAGCTGTTTCTAATTTTAAGACTTTGAACAGTAAATTAAAGCATTAAATTAGAAGAACTTACAACAAAGTATAATCTAGACATTGCTAGCTATTACCAACCAGCGACATTGTACTTACGTCACGTACGGTTCATAATTTACCTATTTAAATTCTGTAAGTTTTACAAAAATATTAAAACGCAGGTCTTAATTATATATGAAAGTTATATGTGAAAATTTGTTTGTTTGTCCTTCTTTCACGTCGAAACAGAGTGCCAGATTGGCGTGATTTTTTGTGTGGAGATAGTTGCAGCGCTGGAGAGTGACATAGGCATAGGCATACTTTTTACCGCGGGAGATTATTTCATTCCCAAAGGAAAACACGTTAAAATACAAACCAAAAAATCATTTAAGATCAGAATTAATTAAAACTTGGTATTAATGCTCTTCAACACAATAAAATAAATACGTGTTTTAGCATTTTTAAAAATTCATCCCGTAAGGGGGTAAAATAGGGAATGGAAGTTTGCATGAAACCTTCCTTTTTAGAGGTTTTTTTTTAGTTTTAGCGCGAGAGAAGCCGCGGGTTTTGTTAGTATAGGTACTAATGTATAAAAAAACACCAAAGTCCATTTTCCCTCATTAAATTGTACTAAATTTTCCTTCTTAGTAGTCTTGTATTACATGAACTATTATCGGGCCTAAATTCATTATCTAGTTTTAGTATTTGATGTTAACTTTATCACAGGCAAAGATCTAAATCTTAGGTGACGTAGACATTAAAATATTTATAGAAATCGCAGTTCGCAAACAATTTTCCTTTCTTACGACAATTTGTATATATAAATATACATATATAAGAAAACTAAATGATGTCTTTATATTTTAACTTATAAATATTTACTCGCTATACACGTGCCATGGCTAGATGTTAAACTGCATAGTTTAATCTATATCTATACTTACGTATAATAAAATTCTAAGTGATTGTGAGTTGAACCCGTACATTAAATATTTTTGGGAAAATCTTACTGAAATAGCCATTATTATCTATTATCGATACAGAGGCTGAATCTAATGAATTAGTGGCTAATTCGTTCATGAGAATACTCTTTACTGCGGGAATATATCTGATCTCTGAAAAATCTATACTAAACGTCAAAACGAACGTAGGGACGAACCCGAACCGAGCGAGGTTGAGTCGCTAGATAGAAATATGCTAAATATACACGTATCAAAACAAGTTGATGCTGCAAAAGTGACAGAATTATTCTTATTGAACGACTTCAAGGGGGGGGTATGAGAAGTTCGGAAAATTATCGTTTCAGTACTTATTTGTCCAAAGGACTAAATTACCCTTTTATCCCTCCACGACCGCGGACACGCTGGCGTTACAGTTAATAATAGATTTCTTAGAAATTTACCTGGAGGTGTTGAGCTCTACTGTAAAGTACAATAACTAATAAGTATTGGTGGTTTAAATAAGGAAACTAAGGCGACGAAATACTGATTTCTTAAATAATTTATTAATTAAAAGTATAACTAAAACTATCCTCTTAAAATCAAACTGTTAGTCATCAGTAATTTCACACTACATACCTACCCCATTTAAAAACTCCAATAGAATTCCCATCAAAAGCGACAAAAGCCACATAGAAACCAATAAATATTTATTGGTTTCTATGTGGCTTTTGTCACTTTTGATAGGATTCTATTGGTGTTTTTCAACAGCGTATGTATATATATCATTATACCTACTAATATAAAAAAACTGAATAGTTTGTTTGTTCGTTCGTCCTTCCGTCCGTTAATTCAGTTTGTTTGTTTGAAATCACTGGATGTACTAATCCGATTTGAAAGATTGTTTTTGTGTTATAAATAGCCTATATATTAGCCGATGCGATAGAGATGAAAAATAAAAAAACTGAGTTTTTCTTATATGTACCGTATATATTTTCTTATGCATTTAGTAAGACGCTGTTATTTTGAAATACAAACAGACACTTCAATTTTATTTATCTGTATAGATAAAAAAATATCTAATTAGTTTATTGATTTTTACCTGAGTGGAAGTGATATTTTTTGAATATGAATTTTCATGCAAATGCATGCTTTAAGCGTAAAGAAATAACGAAACGTTTTGATGATTTCATATCTTGACATTGACATTTAAATTTGACGTATCTGTTTCAATTTGTCAATTGTTCGTTGCAGAGAAATTACTTTCAATGCACTTATTTTCTTTAATATATGCTCATATAACTTCTTAAATATTTGTTATGTAAGAAAACAAGCAATCATCGTATAAAATACTTAATTGCAGCTATTTGCAAGAAAAAAACACCTTAACTTTACATATAGGGTATTGTTAAAAATATTCATGATTACTTTTGGTTCGAAGACAATTTAACGATTTATAAGTATTATATTTCTCTATGTTTTAGATTAAATAAGTATTGAAGATGTCGGATAAGCACCTCACGATGGGGCAGCGTGTTATGGTGGTTGGTAAAGAGGTAAAAGGTTCAATCGCCTACGTCGGTTATCCGACGTTTGCGACGGGCAAATGGATAGGTATTATCTTAGATGAACCTAAAGGGAAAAATAATGGCACAGTTCGAGGACATGCTTATTTTCGGGTCAGTATATAGTTATTTATTTTTCTATTGCCATTTATTTCAAAAGTTGTAGAACAAATAAAATATGTTTTTTTCTAAATGAAGATTGCTAACGTTATTTACTAAAATAGTCTTTTTTTTAAACTAAAATAAGAGCAGTATTTTTAATTTTTATTCAGTATTGATTATTTTAACTTAAAACAGCTTTTCTTTAAAAAAAACCATTATATATTTCAGTGTGATGAAAACTATGGAGTATTTGTTCGTCAATCTCAAATCCAGCTTCTTGATTCTGAGGACAATCCAATGGAGACTTCCATGACAACATCTATTGAGGAATCTAAACCTTCATCCAATAGACGTCTTAGCAGGTACCTTTTAATTTAAATATTTCAAATATTTATGTAATGGTACAATAACAAAAAGAAGATTTAATTTTGAAGTTATACTTCTTTTGGCACTTTAGTAAAAAATTATGAGAGTGAATGATGCGACAGGTTTAGGATACAGTATAAAGTTAGTTGCTATTATAATTGAGTATAACCTATATGTTTTATATGTAGTCTTAATTAAATTAGATTTAAGTGATGTTTTTCATTGAAATTCACTAAATTATTGATATTTTCAAAATGTTAAAATTGGAATTAATTTCTAAGTCGGCATCAAAAGCTGGCTAAACCAAGCCTGGACACTGGCAATACAAGCAAAGTAACCAAACGGTACACTATATACATACACAACTCAAAGCAAGTATAAAAATATACTATTAGTAAGAAGTGTGGCTATTGCAAAAACAATGCTAGGGGCTGTGTTGCCATATTATCATGAAGAGATTTTATTTTTATTCATAGATTTCTACAGATACATACAGTTGGTTTGTTTTATTATCACTTAAGAATATATGAGGAGGAGAATATATGAGTGAGGTTCATAAACAGTTTTAACAATACAATTTTTATATGTAGTATATAAAAATTATAGTGGCAAAAGTTTACCAAAATGTTGCCTTTTTGAATAAATATTTATTAAAGTAATTTCTCTTTAACTGAATTTATTACTATGAAAGGTTAATTTATAATGAATGGTATTAGTCTAAAAGTAAAAAAAACAATACAATAATATCTAGCATACTAGAGGCTCACCTTCCCTCCACTCAGGTTCATCTCTAGTCAAAAATAAGCAAACCGTACATTTTTCGGAATAAAAAATAGCCTATGTGCTATTCCAGACTATAATCTATCGCTGTGTCAAATTTCATCCAGATCTGTTCAGCCATTCTAGCATATTCATATAGAGTACTAGCGACTCACCCTCGGTTCGCTCGGGTTCATCCCTAGCTTGCTTCTCAGTACAAAATTTCATCCCCATTTTCATCCCCTTAAGGGATGGTTCCCGGGATAGTACCCTATGTCCTTCCCAGGGTCTCAAACTATCTTCCTACCAAATTTCATCTAAATCGGTTTAGTTACTTAGTAGATCCAGAGATTACCCCCTACAATGTCACAAACTCACAAACTTTATAATATTAAGTATAGATATGTTCATATACATAATTGAGTAACGAACATTCATCCAAACATTCACTTTTATATAGTAATAAGATTGATATACTTCTGATAAAATATAAATGACATAATAGCAATAATTCATAATTTAGTTTAATGAAATTATTATTATGTAGGTTTTAATAAGTCAATTTAATAATTAGTATTTTATAATTCATTCCATTTGACTTTAGATACTAAAATGTATTTAATTGTAACGAACCCATAACAATAGATTGTAGACTGTCATATGTCATATAGTTGTTTTTTTTTTACTAAAATAAAAATATTTAGATTCCGACTCAATCCTTACTTTAATAACAAACATTTTAATAAAATAACATAATTAAACTTACATCAGCGTGTGTCATTGTTTCCACAAAAAATCGAAAATATTTTTTACAATTTCCAAAATTTTCATTTATAGTATTTTAACAAATTACAAAAAAATCTATTTCGATAAAATTAAATTGGTTATTATAATTTATAATATATTCTGAGATTCACCCGAATATTTGACATTTTTAATAAAAATATCTTTTCGGATTTTTTTTGCGGATTTATTTTCTTTTTTAGTTACCGATGTTTCGAATGCATTACAACAGTCATGGCAATATTGTAAAGTACTTTGGTGCCATTTTTGTATTTTTGAATTCATTTTGTAATTTTGTGGGTAGGCACTGTCTGTTACGACTATATAATTACCTTTGTGACATCTAAAACCTTAGTCCCCAAAACCTAACAGGGTCCCTCCCAGAAGGGTACCCCAGGGATGCGCCCATATTTGTGGGCGGCGAAAGAACCCACGGCCGGAGAGCTATGCCCTGAAGCCGTTTCCCCATTCCCGTTGCGGGGAATGTGAGATGACCAGCAGCTAAAACCCTAATCCCTCCCGTGTCTATGTGCGCTGTAAAGCATTCGAAATGTCAATAATCCAAATAAATCCGCGAAAGCACCCGAAAAGATAATTTTATTTAAAATAAATTGATTATTAATTTACATTTATTTTAAGAGTATTTTCGATTTTTATTATTAATTAAACCATTTAGATTTTCTAACTGATAGAGTGTGTTTCTTTCTCGCTAGTATAACAGTGGCCCAGAGGTCTAGACCGACTACGTAAGTATTAGATACCGTAGACTTGCACTTGCTTAAGCTATGCACACATTATGCTTGTGTATGACATTAATGTGTAACAAATGCTAATATACACAATTTTTTTTAATATTTTTTTTTTTAATTTGAACTTTAAGTGATGTGATTTGAGTTCTAACAAACATAGGCTGTAAACAATTATCACTTGTGCTATTGCAAATGGTCGCAAATATTATTTATTCTTTTTATATGTCCTTTTTTTGTACAACATTATCGTTATAAATATGAATTCATGTTGCTCATTGAATGCTTTAAAAATGACATGTTAATAAAAATGAAATAAAAAATATATATATATATATATTAAATTTAAAAAAAATATAAAGCTCTCAATTAATTGCTTAGTTTTAAATACGTCTTATGTATTACTTAATATTATTGTGTTATAACGCTTTACTTTAAAGGGTAAGCCTTATTAGTCCATATTTGTTTTACACTTCGCTGCATTCACGAAACTAGAAAGTGAATGGCAGTAAAGAAGTTATGACAATAGAGTTAATGTTACTTTTTATTTTTTAAATGTTTTAATTGTTAATTTTTAGTGTATTTGTGTTCAAGAAATTAAAACGAGGTATAATTAATATAATATAGTATTTGCAATTTATATATTTTATTAATTATTATTTAATAATATATTTTTTTACTGTCATTGAAAAGATTATAGCTTATTAGTATTTCTTTTATTAAATATTTCTTAATTTTTAAATATTTATGTATCGAAAACAAATTAAAATATTATTTTATGTTTAACTAAAAAGTGTGGGGTATTTAAAGTGTGACAAATGACGTGACGGTTTTATTCTGTAATTTTTGACAACGCGATATGACAATTAATTGATTTGACGTGACTTACAAGTTACATAGATAATAAATTATTTAATCACATTTTTTGTGACATATGTATGTATATGTGGTATATTACTATATATTTCTTATATAATCCTTCTTTTAATTTATAAATAAATTTGATATGCCTATATGTTCTATAAATAATAATTCGTGTCTAACATATTGGGTATTCCGTATTGAAAAAGGGTACGGCGGAAGGCGTCGCCCGCGCAGACGAAAGCCGGCACATTGTCGATGTCGAGGTAAAACAATAAATCAATTTAATGCACTGTATATAGAGCACGATCGTTAGTTCGAAATGTTGTAATTTTTTTTCTAATTGTATGTAAATTGTATGTAAGGTGCTTGAAAAAACTATAGTGTAATTTTTTTTCGTTATGCAAAATTGATCAATATGCCAATTATAGTGTATACTAAAGTATAATTATTTATAAAAGTAGCGTTTACACGGTTGAAAATAAAAGAAATGTTTTAAAACTGAATATTTCTTTTATAGGTTGATCATTAGTGCATAACATCAAAATCGCAATGTATGGATTTATTTTTATTCATACTGCATTTGAATATTTTCTGTTTTATAATATATTAAGGCTATTTGACTTAAAAAATATTGAAAACGATGTTATTATCATCAGCTATTTTCAGTTTACTGTTAGATATAGGCCTGTCCCAGGGTCTCCCTGAGCCATTGAGAGTGATCTTGATCTTTGCGCATCCAGTCAGTACCACCCGCGTGGCACAGGTGGTCACACAATCTAGCAGGACCTCCCAGACTATGTCATAAACAATATGAATAAATTTATTTATTATTTAAACCACGAAGGAACATAAAGAATATTTGATTTTTCATTTTTTGTTACTTTCATCGACAAAATAAAATATTTTTATATTACATTCACATGTCTACATAAGTATATGTTTTTATCAAAATCTTTTATTTAAATGGTTATTTTAAAAGTCAAATAGCCTATTCAATTGTTCTTTCTTTGATTTTTTAATAAATAAATGTGTAAAATTATTTGTATGTAATTTTTGTATATTGCATTTTAGAAGTAGATAGTTTTTGTTTTTTTTTTAATGAAATATTTTTGTATGGGCAGATTCAGGATAGTAAGTTCTTTAGTGTATAGTAACCTTGGATTTATGATTATTGCCTCAGAAATATTTAATCTCTCTCGCGTGCTCTCTCTTAGCCTTGCATTTGCTTATATTTTTAGTGTAGGTCGTCTAAACGTCTACTTGGGCTTTCGTCAGGCCTCGAGACATCCACTTGGGCTACTTCAGGTCCTCGGAAATATAGAAAGAAAAACAATAGAAAGTAAAATAAATAAAGACATACATAACAGCTATGTTTTGGAGTAAAAGTTATTTCAGGGAAAATTCATTATCAAAAACATCGAGTCAACTTTGCCCAAATCCAGAGATATTGCACGTATAGCATGAGGAGACATACAACGTTCCAGAATATCTTGTAGATTAAAATTTTTTTTCTCTTTATGAATTCTGACTCTGTTATTTTTATTTTGACAGTAATAAAATGTATTTTTATTGTTTACAGCTTTTCCTATTTTTTCTTTTTTGATAAGTGTTTGATGTAAATATTATTATCCTATTTTTGTTTATGATATATTTTTGTTGTATTTTAGATTATGTTGTGAGTAGGAAGCTTGTATTGATAGAAAATGATCGTAATTTAAACTTCAAAATGAAATAAGAGCTTGCAATTAAATATTGTAATAACTTTATGCTATTCTTAACTTTTATTTACTAATGATTCACTAAATTGTATTTCTAAAATCTCTGTTATATCATACTTTCAAATAGAACACAGTTCATATGATATGTTTCTTTAAACTCTTTGGCACGGCATAATTAAGCACAAAATGTTTTTTGGGATTTTTTATAAGCTTGTACATTCTAGAAAAGTCTTCTGCTAATGGGGCTTAGGCAACATCTCAGTTTACAGTCGTCGAATAGAAATTTTACGCATTGTATTATAGTGACAAATGCAATTGCTATGCCATAGAACCATATATTTTTATAGATTTTTTTATTTAACGATTTTAGAAAGATGTGTTGCCTAAGACCCCTGAGTTTTAAAATGTTACACTTAATTGTAAATATGTGTGTATCTACTATAGTTAAATTTCGTTGGCTTATTTCAAAGAATGATCCTATTTTTATTATCTTTAGAATAAAACTTAGTATACAAAAAAAACACGAGAAATTTTCCGTATTGAAGACAGTCACAATATTGAAGATGTGAAGTGTATTGTGTTATTTTATAATTCTTGCTCTGGGTAGTTCCAGGACGTCCTTGGCAAGCAGTCGCCAGTCTCTCACGTCGTACGTGTCACCTACTACTGAGAGAGCGACCTCGCCAGACCTAACTAGCAAACGGGCATCCTTTGTTGAGGTAATGTAACATGATGATTTCAAAAAATCTTTTAATTCAAAATATTATTGAGTTTAAATTAAAAGTTAGGGATTCCGTCCATACGGTTCAGAAACTCAATCGCTTTTAGAATGGCCATCAGCTCGAAACAGTAAATTAGAAAACTTAAATGATAGATGCCAGTTTCTCCTCGATCTGTTCCTACCATTATTAACTAATTTAGTTGGAATGAAGTTCCTATTTATGTATTAACTATTACGTCTTGAGCTTCTTATGAGTTATCGAATATGTGGCTTTATTTCCGAAACGGCATCAATTAAGTACCTACATTGTACGACCCGCAGTGTTTTGTTCTTCAGTGAATAAATTTAATATTTTTATTAAGAAAATTACGTGTTTATTCCACAGACGGGTTTCGTAGAGACCCTCACTCCTCAGTACACTCCAGGTCAGAGCCTAACGTCTCCTCAACCCGTGTCAACTGCCGTTGAGGACAAGTTGGCTAACATACAAGCACAACAGGAGGTAAGTGACTGTGCAAAAGTTAACATTTTGAACAGTACCAACCGTTTTTTTTAAGAAAAAAAAATATCTTGCCCGCTTTGCTTGTTGGGTATTCCTTGACTAAATTTTTTTCCAAATCTACTGCAGAGGATCTTTATTTGTATAATAATTTAAAAAAAGTGTGAAAAATAAATAGAAAATTCTTATTCTGCGTAAATAGCAATCGATTTCTTTTAACATCGTAACAATTTTATTTATATTGGCTGCTAACACTTATAAAATTTTAGAAAACTTTAACAAAAAAAAACAGAGACTTCTTCCTTAACTCCTCAACTATACGTGCTCATTAATAATAGTTTTATTTTTATTTTTGACTAATTCACGTCATTTGTTGTGTCTCACTGCATAGATTGTAATAGAAGCTTGCTAGTTGTTACATATCACGTGACAAGGAAATATAAATGAATAACCTCTTGTGGTTTGATAATGTTTATACCGTAGTGGCGATGTGAAAAACTAACGTATTTACGGAAAAGACAAATTATCGTACTTTTATTGTGTCTAGTTTGTGGTTATTTTGATTGAATTGATTAATTGGATGACGCATATTTTTTTTAAATGTGTGTATGTGTGTTTGTAAGCCATGTTACTGTGAAAATGTGGTAGGGTATGTATTTTTGTTGGAAAAAATTACCTGTTCAAATGATTTGTTCTCATGTAGTGTATTCAGATTTACACAACCTATATAGATAATTCTAACACAAATTATAATTTTACTTGATTGAAAAAGACGTTTCAGAGCAACTTGAAAAAGTTGACTTTTGCACATAAATTCAACATTAGTAAGTCCTTGAAAAAATTATACGGGCTTTTTACATACTCCCTTAATGCTTGTGGGATTAGACCTTACTCTACATTGGCCGAATGCGCGTTGCCTTAACGCAAATGCCTTTCCAAAACTAGTTAGATTTACTCAGACAGACAAGTTTTCTATCTATGTTGTGATCCACCACCGTATTGAAAAAATATTAAATTATTCCACTGTCATTCATTACCGTATTGAAAAAATATTTGATTAATCCATTGTAATCAATCACCGTTTTAAAAAATATTTTATTAGTATTGTAAAAATGAAACTTATAAATGAAACTATCACATTTGCGTGTCATAGGATTTGATTCCTATTCATACTTAATCTAACATATTTATTCTCTGCAATATACATACGTATCCTCGCTACTATTTAAAAAGTAAATAAATTTAAACTAGTGACGATACTCGTGCATGTCCATCTTAAAACTCAACATGATCGCATTAATTATTTTTATAAAAATACATTTAATGCGTGAATATAACTTGGTCACTTTATGTATTTACAATATTAAAAACAACAGTTTTTGTAACTAACGTTACACCTAAAGCAATTTGTACTTCTTACTAAACATCTTCTGATACAACTTTTTTAGATTATAGCCCTAAAGACTGAAGTAGAAGATCTCAAAGAGAAACTAGAGACCCTAAAGGTTCGTCGTGCTGAGGATCGGGAGAAATTGAGAGAGTTCGAGAGGGTCAGGCTCCAATTGGACCAGGCTAATGAATTCAAGTCTAAAATCATGGAGTCACAGGCCCAATTGCAGAGGGACTTGCAGAGAGCTAAACAGGAGGTAGGTTTTACTTGTATGTAAACTTAATTGGTATTATTTTTTCTTTTTATATTTTGTACAACAGAAATTTTAACATCTTCAATACATTTTTTTTATGGAAATAGCCAGGTTAAGTCGCTTGTTTTTCGCGGATTTAAGTTAATTATTATTTATAGCTACGTGAAGCCCAAGAAGCTTTAGAACAGCACAATGACGAAACAGCTGAATTGCAAGAGGCGACAGAAATGGCTGCCCTCGACAAGGAAATGGCAGAAGAGAGAGCTGAGGCCTTGCAGCTTGAACTCGAGCAATGTCGAGATAAGTTGGAGGAAGCCACGCTGGACTTGCAATTGATGAGGGCTGAGATGGAAGCTGGTGGCAATATACGTGAGTATTCAATGGTTAAAAACAATCATTATTTGTTATTCTCTTTAATATGGTAGTTGACACCATCAATCAATTGATATACTTTTTATGAGCTGTCCCAGCGATTTTCCCACAGATTTAAAAAAAAAATTATTGGAACAAACAGAAAAGTTACATTATAGATTGTACGATTTGTATGTCAGCAGCAATCTGTGACGTCACTTATTTGCCGACTTTTCATTTATTGATTTCGAAGTAACAAAAAATCTAATTTCATGGTTCACAAAGGCTAAAATGAAGTGTTTTTAGATAGTGAAATTTTATGTCTCGGTATTATTGATTAATGGCGTCCATTTTTTGGTATTCACTTGCTAATTAGTCCAAGCATTTTACTTAACCAAGGTATTAAGTGTAACTTAATTTTATTGTAAAGCTAAATGATGAAAAATGAATATGTCATGATAACTTTTTGCATATTTACAATCAAGAAAATTAAAATCGTTTTGGATTATGTTTTGAAATTAAATTGTCAAATAGAAAAATGTTTTGTTCTCTAAACTTATTTCCAGACACGGCCGCTCTATATTTATTGTGTATTTAATATTGTATATGTATAGTATTATAAAAAATATATGTATGTATGTTTGTGTCACCAAAGTGTCTATACATGCACATTTGACATATTTTTTTTTTTAATATTTATATGTGAAAACTTTTTTAGGAAAATATGTGCTATAATGGCATATTTAAATTATTATTTATTTATTTATTTATAGAAATAAACAATCAACTTATGCATGTACGTATATAATTATATATTATTTTTTTGTGATTTTGTGTTTTTAATCATTCGCTTCACACATTCGATCGATTTTTTTTAGTTAAATCGAATATTTATTTAATATCTTTTCATTGAACTTAGCATTTCTTTGCTCATTGCTTTGGTTTAATTAATATTTTTTCATGTTTCATATTTAAAACAAGTAAAACCTTTCAAAATAAAATAAAACAGCAAGAAATGTAACTGACTACTATGTAGAATATGTTTTTATAAATACGAAAACGTTTTATTAAAACAAAACAAAGGTTTTGGAATAATATCTCATTTCCATTTTAGTTTTACAGTGAATGTGTGAAGTTTTGTATATTTTAATTTACGCATGTTTTGTGTTTGTGTTCGTGTCATGCCTCTGGACTTTGACTTTTAACTTGACTGATCTTACAAGTCTTAAGTGACATATCATTGACTGGTAGTTATATATACGGTAGTGTGACAATTTATTGACTAAATAGTATAGTGTAGTATCAGAATTTATTGACTGACAATTTGACACTGTAATATGACAATGTATTGAATGTATTTGAACCTTTGTATATTTTAGTGTGACACTTTATTGATTCAAAGTATAATTTTATAGGGTATAGTCAAGATTTCTATTATTTCGGATTGCAATTCAACTGGACTATTCTATTATTAGAGAGGAAAGAAAAGAGTGCACTTTACAATATCTTCTGAGGAGAAGGCTAGTCTCTAGTCTCAGTAATTGACTTGATGGATATTTATATTCATCCACAAATTTCTTCTAAATCGGTCTAGCTGTCTGACCGAGAACGAGTAACAAATATAATCACACAAACTTGACACTGACAAATGTGACAGTGACAGTGAAATGACTGTGACAGTAGCGTGACACATAACGTGTCCCAACTCGCATGTGTACAAAGCGGCGTGTCTGACCAGAGCACCCGTACGCAGCGGGCGAGGGCGCTACGGGCTACGAGGTGCGACAGCTGCAGCAGCAGAATGTCAGGCTGAGGGATACACTGGTCAGGCTGAGGGATCTCTCGGCGCATGATAAGCACGCGATGCAGAAGATGCAAAAGGTGATGCGACGTTTGTCGGGGGACAGTTGACGTTTTTCTTTTGGATTTGGTTAGGATATTGTCAATAATAATGCTGGATCTGTTTTTTTTATTTAAAATTGGACATTTTTGTCTGTCTACACTTGATTAATGAGTTTTTTTAAATTAATCGAACTTGATGAATGATTTTTTTGAATATATTTTTTTGTAAGACAAGTTAAAGTTAGTAAATGTTGTGACATTTTTGTTTTTTAATTTTTTTTTCGGTTAAAATCAGAATTTGTTAATTTTTTATTGTCTGTAGTTTTTAACTTAATAAAAAAATCTTTAATTTTAAATGAAAATTTAAATTTTTTTTTATTTCTTTTTCCAGGATCTTGAGCAATATAGATCAGAAATAGCCGAATTAAGTCGCACCAAAGAGAAGCTTTCAGCGAGAGTGGAAGAATTGGAAGCGCAAGTGGCTGACCTCAGAGAACAGGTATGTACTTTAATTGGTAAATTTCCTATATAATAATATAATAATTATTGTTTTTTCATCTGTGGACGGATTCGTTCAGGAGGACATTATTATGGTATATCCATATCGAAAAATCATGTTTTAAGTTATTATTTTTTTGCTATTAATTTATTTCAATATGTTTTTTTTTGATTTGAGTTATTTTTTTTAGGTGGATGCGGCTCTCGGTGCGGAAGAAATGGTCGAACAATTAGCTGAAAAGAAAATGGGCTTAGAGGACCAAGTAAGTAATTATGGTACATCAACTGTATATAGGTTCTTTTTTAATTTAGTTTATTAATATACATATTTTTTATTAAATGTCTATATAGTGAATAACAACATATCGTATGTTGTAATTCACTATATAGACATTTAAAAATGTACATATATTTATCTCAGGTTTAAAAGTTAAAATATAGGCATAAATGCAAAAGTTGCATTGTTACTGCATACTACTCACCTGTCAAGCGCGAACGGATCAACTCTGAAGTGGTGGAAAAAAATTAAATTAACTTGTGATAACAACATAATATATGTTATTACTAACTGCCTCGGTGGTGTAGTGGCTAGCTTGTACGTCTGCACACCCGGAGATTCTGGGTTCGAGTCCCGGGTCGGGCCAAGTTTAGTTATTGAGACTTTCTGTATATTAAGCCTCAATAACAGCCCGGAGTTGGGAAGTTGGCGGTGTTTCACCCCCGTGCCTCGGAGAGCACGTAAAGCCGTCGGTCCTGCGCCGACACTCTCACCGGTCGTGTCTCGTGTCGTCCCACCGGAGTATGAGAGTGACAGGAATAGAGAGTGCACGTTGTGTCTGCGCGTACACTTGTGCACTATAATATCTCCTGCGCAGTTGGCTAGTCACAATGAGATTGGCCGCCGTGGCCAGAATCGATCAGGAAGAACATCAATATGTTATTATACTATAAATTTAGTTTATACCTTTGCAATAAATATTATTATTATTTATATTTAATTAATCGTCAATCTAAGGTAGAACAGCTAAAACAAGACGTCCAGGAGCTGGAAGCGCTGCAAGAGGTCCATGAACAGCTGGTCGAGTCTAACCGGGAGTTGGAGATGGATCTGCGCGAAGAGTTGGAGATGGCTCATGCTGCTACGAGAGAGGTATGTAGTTACAGTGGGATTGAGGGTACGGTGGGATTAGTTGGGAAATTTTTATGTTTTTTGCGAATGTTAGGTATTTTGAATAGGTTTTTTTTGGGGACTTTTTTTGCGATTCGGTTTTTTTCTATTTCTTTTTTTTTTGTATAATGAGGTTTTAAATGGTTTATAACAAATGTAATTACAAGAGAGACTTTGTTTTTGATATCTCAATAGTTATATGTATTCAAGATGGTATAATTTAATATTATCCGTTGAAAGCATACTATATACTATATGTTAATATTATAAATGCGAAAGTGTTTGTTTGTTTGTTATTCTTTTACGTCGAAACATTTATAACAAGCTAAACACGTTATAGTACAACCCACAACAACTCATCATACCCATATAATACTAGCGACTCACCCTCGCTTCGCTCGGGTTCGTCACTAGTTAGAATTTAGGTTTGTATGTATTTTTAATGCCGAATCATAAAAAAAAAAATAACATTTTTTGTCCAAAAATAACTATAATTTTTTTAGGGTGGACCAGCCTTGTTACTTAGAGGTATGAAAAATAGTTTACGTCCTATTCTCAGACCTGCTTAATATACACACAAAATTTCATAAGAATCGGTCAAGCCGTTTTGGAGGAGTTTTGTTACAAACACTGTGACACGAGAATTTTATATATTAGATATAGTCTATCTATTTCATATTAACCATGAAAATGCAATACTCATTTAATAATAATTTGAATGATGTCTCAAAAGTTATAATTATTACACACACAGTTTTATATTATTACACAGTTTCTACTAACAAAATTTTGTATATAGTATGATTTTAAATGTTACGAAGTTAATATACTAATATACATATAACTAAATTTTGTAGGCGATTCGGGAGAGGGAAGCTGCGTTAGAAACGATAATGGACCGGGATTCGACAATTGTCAAGTTCAGAGAGCTGGTGCAGCGTATGACTGAGCAGTACAATGAGATTAGGGCTCAGTTGGAGTCTAAACAAGGTATTGATGATAAACTATACATGTATTTAATTATATCTGTGGTTTAATGGCTAACATGTAGGGTCATAGATGTGAAAGTCTCGGGTTCGAGTTCCGGGTTGGTCGGATTCGAGTTTTTCAGTTTTTCTGGAACCTGCATGTCTGAGAAAACTTAAGAATTTTTCATAAGATATAAAGTCCACCTGCACTTAGGTAGCGTGGTGGTATGCCTGATCCCTTAATTGGGATCGTGGAACTAAAAGGCGGAATTAACTATTATTTTTATATTTCAAATTAATTTAAATGTGTCCTTCAAATTTCACGTTTTAATTAGAAAAAAAACATAAAAATCTGTTCTCAATTAGCGAAGATATCGGATGGTGTGTCATTGAAACCAATAAGAAAAAAATAAATAAAAAATAAATAAATCTATGTATATAATAAATCTATGTATAAATAAAAAATAAATAAATATATGCAAGTGGACAAACGAGTATATGTTTTTGTGTTTATGTTATATGATAACATCGCCAAATATAAACAGTGTTTCATTACCTATTTCTAAATGAATAGGTTGACAATAATTAAAGACATCAAGACAATATTCCACTTCAAAGGATGGAATAATGACATTTATGATATTACTAACGGTTTACCCTCGCTTCGTTTCGGTTTTATCCCTAGACAAAAACGAATCTGTCCCACGGGAACCGTACATATTTCCTCTTTATAATCTATACATGTATACATATAAATAAAATTGAAGTGTCTGTTTGTAATGTCAAAGTAATAGCTTATTACTAAATGCCTATGAAATTGTATACGGTACTTATAAGAAAAAAAAACAATTTTTCATATTTTTGTCTGTCTGTTTGTTCCGGCTAATCTCCGAAACGGCTGGTCTGATTTTGACGAGATTTTCATTGACAGATAGCTGATGTTGTAAGGAGTAATTTAGGCTACTTTTATATTAGAAAAAGAATTAAGGTTCTACTCAAAAAAATTAAAACTTACCTAGGGATGAACCCGAGCGAAACGAGGGTGAGTCGCTAGTATTAGTATAGATATGTCAATGTAAAGTCCCCCTCCCTCCCACAGCGGGCTCGCCCCCGCCGGAGCAGGAGTCCGGCGCGGAGCCCCGCGCGCCCCCCGAGCTGGGGTCGCTGGTGCAGCAGTCGCGCGCCTCTACGCGCTCCATCGACCTGCAGCTGCGCGCGCTGGAGCTGGCGCAGGCGCGCGCGCGCGCCGACATGCTCGCCGCGTGTCTGCCCGACCACTTCATGCAGGCCAGTGGTGAGTGGTTTGTTTTTTTAATTTAGGCGACGAAGGTACGCAGTTGTTCAGGCTGATTAATTAATTTGTTCTTTTTTTTTGGATCGTTTCGCGTGTATGATGTGAAGGGGATATAATAAGATTGTTTTTGCGACACTGTAACATTTTTAATTTATAATTTTGAACAGAAAAGTTTTTTATTTTATTTTATCACGTAACCAAGGCTCGTTTTGTTAGTTTTTCTAAGTTGAATATACTTTTAGTTGTCAATTTCATAGAAAAAATATTTATTATTTAAAAGCCACATAATTGAGAATTGATATTGAAAGGGAAATTTAAGGAAAAAAATAATAAATGAAGATGAAGGAGTTAAAAACATTTGATGAAAGTTTGAGAAAAATGTCATGACGCCAAATAAATTTTGACGTGACAGGAAATTGATTTTATCATGACGTAAATTTAATTATATCCTACCTTTAATTTTGTTACACTAATTAAAATAATATGTTTATGTGTATTATTTAAATTTGTATTCAGCCCTTTTTAACGTCCCACTGCTGGGCTCGGGCCTCCCTTCAGCACGAGGGGAATCAGGCCTTCAGCACGAGGGGAATCAGGTGATGAAATTAAGTAAATGTAATTTTTTTTTTCATTTCAGGTGACCACGACGCTATCAGGTTCATTCTTCTTTTGGAGCGTTTGAACAAAAAGGCTGAAATTATATTGGGTCAAATTCGTGAAAAGTAAGTGCTATCATTAGTGTACTAAACAGTATAATATTTTTATATTTGTATATATATTATATTAATTAAATAATCCATACTAATATTATAAAAAGGCAGAGTTTGTTTGTTTGTTTGTTTGTTTGTTTGTTTGTTTGTTTGAACGCGCTAATCTCAGAACTACTAATGTGATTTGAAAAATTCTTTTTGCATTAGATAGCCCGTTTATTGAGGAAGGCTATAGGCTATATATCATAATATAATTATAGTATATCTATTCCATACTAACCGTTAAAACGTACCTAGGGATGAACCAGAGAGAAGCGAGTGTGATTCGCTAGTTTTTATATATTTTTTTCCAATAGACCTTTTATCACACAACATACTATATTTGTTATGGCATCAACTTTATTGATTTACTATTAATTAATATCAAATTAACTAGAAGTCTACTTTTTATTCGTGATTCGTTTTATTCGAGATTTTTTTGAGCGGTACCCTAATTTTCCGTCAAAGTCGGTCCAGCCGTTTCGGAGATTAGCCGGAACAAACAGACAGACAGACAGAAATTTTAAAAATTGTGTTTTTCTTATGAGTACCGTATATAATTTTTATGTATTTAGTAAAAAGGTGTTATACAAACAGACACTTAAATTTTATTTATCTGTATAGATTATTATGTGAATTGAGTTTAAATTAATTTTCAATGAAGTAGAAGTTGTGATTTGGAATTATTGGTTAATTTTTCATTTACCCGATACATATATCCCGCGTTTTTGATCAGGTTCCCAGCAGTGAACGTGTGGGACAAGGAGTCTGTGATGCGCTCCCACACAGCCGTGCAGTACAGCTTCCGATGCCAGCTGGAGTTCCAGCTGCAGATGATACAGGTACAGACACACGTATATACATACACATATAAATCAGGTCTTGGAACCTGTTCAAAAAAAAACTCGGTCAATTTCGGTAATGTAATGGTTAATTCATAGCTCGTTCTTTAACCGGTTAATGAAAACGGATTATTTTTTAAACCGGAATAATGGTTAACGGTAATTCTTAGAGAAAGGTTAGACTTAGGTTTTGATACTTATCTAAATAAACAGATTAATTCATCAATGAGTAATAAACGTACGTGAATCCTTCTAAATAATACATCATTAACAAGGATTCGCAAAATATGTGAACGCACTAAAAATGATTTAAACCGGTTAATTTTCATCGCGGAACTTAAATTTATCGAAAACCGTTTTCCGGGCTTTAGTCGAATTACAAACGCGCCTTTAGTGCTTGCACACACATGCACGCATACATATAAATGATAAATCTATCTATCTATACACACCAGTGCATGGTGTGAATGTGGAGTATACACATATTACCGATATTTGACGACACGTTTGGCTCAGTTTGTAGTGACCCTACTTGTTGTGCTAGCGGTCGCGGGTTCGAGTCCCGCTGGCGTTCATTAATTTGTGTGATGAGCGCGAATGTTTGTACTCCGGTCATGGTTGTTTATGTTTATAATATGTATGTATTTAAAGTTATATAATACGTGTAGTGTATCTACTATCTGGTATCCGTAACACGCGCCTCGTAGCTTGCCATGGAACTAGAGGGTGGTGTGTGCCTGTCCGCAGTGCACGGTGTGCATGTGGAGCGGCGCGCTGGAGCGCTGCTCGCCGGAGCAGCTGCTGCGCGCGGGCGCGGCGCTGCCGGACGCGGAGCCGCAGGAGCGCGCGCTGGACGCCGCCGCGCACCTGCTCAAGACCAACGAGCTGGACGAGAACTGCTCGCTGGATGGTCAGTGCTCGTGCTGAAGTAGGGTCTCATCGGGAACAAATAAATTAATGGAGCCGCGGGCAAAAGTTATAACAAGAAAAAACAGTATTACATAATCTATTTCAATCACAAAATATTATCTTACTAGTATTGCCCGCGGCTCAGATGACCAAAAACCAAATTCTTAGGTTTTACAAATTAGTATACTCTTACAATGCAATTTTTGTATTTTTTCTCAGAAATTATTTTCCTGCGGTAAAAAGTGTCGTATATGTTGACCCGGATAACCGAATATCTCTATACCAAATTTTATCAAAATCTCTAATGGTTTTTCTGTGATGCGGTAACAGACAGACTGACAAAAATTCTAAAAACTATAGATTCGGCCTCTGTCCTAGCGAGATCCGTGCCCAGCAGTGGGACGCTAAAAAGGGCTCACTAGAATATTGATATGTCCGCCAACAGGCATGGAGCGTACCTGGAGCTACCTGTCGGCGATGTGGTCGGCCCTCAACATGAACACGGTGGAGGGCGCGGGCAGCTCGCGCGCCGTCGTGCTGCACGCCTGCGCCGCGCTCGACGCGCTCGCGCGCGCGCTCGACGTCGACGCGCACGCGCTCAACCACGTGCTACAGGTGAATTATCTATTCTGTTTGTATAGACCTTAACGGGACTTTAAATAAAAGTATAGTGGACTGTATATAAATTACTAGCAGAACTATGCTCGCGCTAAAACTACAGAAAAAAAAACTCAAAAAGGTAAGGCTTCTACTGCCCTACCGGATACACATATAACATTACAACTTAATTACGAATATATGTATATATACTCGTATAATCTCTTTATTTCTTGTTTTCATATGTGTTAATATATTTTTTTAATTGTATTCCCCAGCCATCAGACCAGCAACAAGAGCTGGGTCAGCTCCACGAGGCGATACAGAACAGCTGTTCTGGTCTCCAGCAGCAGCTGAAGAGCGTCCGCCGCCGCCTGCCGCCCGGCGCGCAGCTGCACGCGCTCCCCATAGACTTGCAGGTGACTACCGGGTTTGATTGATAAGTGCTTGAAATAAAGGGCCATTCATTAATGCCGTAAAGACCCACACTGCCCCAGGGGGAGCGAGGAGGGGGACGGGGGGGGGGTTGGTGGTTTAAGAAAATCTATTATATTCATTCACAATATCTATTATATATTATATCATCTTACTTTACAAATTTTTATTTGTTTATAGAAAATTTGAAATCTTAAATATGTTCATTTTCATCATTTACACGGCTTTAAATACAATCCCAAATAAAACCCGTTCTAACGCCAGAATGATCAAAAAACAACTTATTAGAAATAATACATTTTGTTATATTATTAAATATTGAATATAAGTTTAAGATTAATTAAATATTGACTATTTAATTATGGAAATAATTTATAAATGTAAAAAATAAATATTAATTAATTATATATAAAATAATAAAACACACGAGTGAATTGGAAAGATAATACAGAACCCGTTCGGAAACAAAACGCTAATCTATTATACGATATTTGAAATATAATTTAGTATTAATTAAATATATCAATAAAGTAAATATATGTAAATGACGGATAAATAGGCGATGCCTATAGTGTTATTTGAGGAGCGTCAGAACAAAAATCGATAAATTACATTTTGATATTTTTTTTCTATTTTTAAATAAAACTTATCTTTCCGGATTATTTCGCGGATTTATTTTGATTTTTGGTTTCCGACGTGTCGAATGCTTACAACAATCATGGTCACGGAAGAGACTATATAGACGTCTTAAACACATACTTGTTACAGATATTGACTACACACTATTTTACGAAAATGATTTTAAAAATTCAAAGGGTAGGGAATCAAAAATCAAAATAATTCCGCGAAATAATCCGAAAAGATAGTTTTATTTAAAATGTCAAACATTCGCATAAATCTAAGAGAGTATTTTTTCTGTTATGATGCTTCTCGTACATATATTGCTCTATGGTTGATGTAACCTGGTCGTAAAATAATAAATCCGCTCTAAATCCGAATTAGAATAAAACTTAATATTATTTTTTTTAGAGACTAAATTCTCTTTCCAAGTTTCCAAACAGTGATTTTAACACCAGTAATTTGATAGATTTCGTTTATCTCTAAATTAGAAAACCATGAATTTGGTCATATTTTTACATTTTTCCACAAAAAATACAAATGTGATTTATCGGTTTTTGTTCTGACGCTCCTCATCTATACATATAATAAAATTCTAACTTAGTCGAATCTGTACATTAAATATTTCATGGAAAATTTTATTGAAATAGTCATTATTATCGATACGGAAGCCAGATTTATAGTTATTAAAATTTTTGTCTGTCTGTCTGCCTATCCATCTGTCTGTTACCGCATCAGGAGAAATCTCTGGTCAGATTTTGATAAAATTTGGTATGATGATAGCTGGTTATCCGTGTTAACATATAGGATACTTTTTACTCCGGGAAAATATCTCATTTAAGAGAAAAAATACATAAACTGCAATGTAAGAGTATACTAATATGTAAAACCTAAGAATTTGGTTTTTGGTCATCTGAACAATGCTAGTTTAATAAAAGATGTATAAGTAGAAATATATAATATTTTTCTAGTATTTGCTAGTAGCTTGTGTTTTGATACAAATCGTAACAAACTGACCAACAGCTGGTGGAGCGTCTGCGCGGGGAGACGGCGAGCGCGCTGTACCGCGCGGCGCGCGCGGCGGCGCTGGCGGCGCGCGCGGCGGCGGCGTGCGCGGCCACGGCGGGCGAGCGCGGCGAGGGCGCGCCGCTGCCGCACGCCACGCTCGCCAACGTGTGGAACGCTGCCATCGATAGGGCCTACCAGCAGGTTGGTGTGTCATGTTTGATTATTCGAAACTATAAGTAGGACCCAGTTATGCAAAAAACAGCCATGTGCCTAAAAGTAGCAACAGAGTTATAAGCATTTTTCTGTCGATAGTTGCAATTGGGTTATGTTTTGATTTTTCTGGTTATTTTAAAATTGAACATATACACAGTAGTATAAATAATAATATTTACATAAGTATTGTTTATTTTGTATAATTATTTTATTTTTTATAATAAAATGCTTATAACTCTGTTGGTACTTTTACGCACATGGCTGTTTTTTGCATAACTGGTTCCAATTATCAAATATGTTTATCATGATAAGTAAGTATGTAAGTTGATAATTATTATCTTCTGTATAGATAAATAAAAGTTGGGGCTCCAAATTATTATTTATTATCTACGATTTTTTTCGGTCCGAAACGGTCCCACAACGCGACGTATTTTTTTTTTTGAATTATTAATACACTTAGCTACTTTAAGGTTGAGTTTTTTTTAATTATTTTTTACTTTTTAAAGGGAACTTAGGTTTTTGTGTCGGGGTTTTTTTTTAATTTTTAATTTAATACTTTTTATAGGTACCTACTTATTATAATGTAGATTTTGTTAGTAATAACCTTGGATAGTGTAGCAATTTGTGAGCTCGACCAAAGAAAACTATTTAATAACTCACATGACAAATCATCTTTAGCAGAATTGCAAAGACTGAGATGTGGTAATTGATACTCTCACTTGACAATCGTATTTCCATGTCCCAATTTTCCCACCGCCAATTTTCTCATCAAGCGAAGCTGAGAACACTCTCGATTAAATCATCAATATTCTATTTCAGTGCGCTTTCATTTGAGACCCCACTCGAGTGTATTTGCAGACATTCGGTTATTCTTCCCTACTTTCACCCCCTACAACTTTTAAACGGCTCAACCGATTTTCATCAAACATGTCTAAGAACACTCGCACATAAGCCACCTTTAATACAAAAAAACTAAATTGAAATCACTTCATCCGTTCCGGAGCTATGATGCCACAGACAGACACACACACACAGACAGACACGTCAAACTTATAACACCCCTCTTTTTGCGTCGGGGGTTAAAAAGGGAAAGTTAAAAATAAACAAATTCAAATTAAAAACAAAAACAATTTTTTTTTATAAAAACATCTATTTAAATATTTTATTTAAATATTCTTATTTATATAAAATATATATTATTATAAATATCCACTAAAATAATATTAATTTTCCTATCCAGGACGATCACGGCGCCGTGAAGACGATTAAACACGCTCTAGCAACAGTGTCGGCGGATGTGGACAAACTCGCCGCCTTCACGCAGGACAAGGAGTACGACGTCATGTCACTCACTAACGTCGCCTCGGAGAAGGTATGTTTCTTGAATAAAACTAGCTTTTTTTTTACTTTTTCGAGGATTTATTTCAATTTTTTTATTGCCAATCACGTTTCGAATGTTTTACAGTGAACATGGTTATGAATGACTATATACCATCCTTCTACAAAGCCATTCACCGTTACACAAAAACTCATTTTAACCGGTTAATTTTGTTCGTGGAACCTAAATTAGTCATAAACCGTTCTCCCGGTTTTCACCTGTTAAATGAACATGCATACATAGTTATGATGAGTGGTTGTGGGTTGTATTATAACGCGTTTTCCTGTGGGAATTAGATAATCTCCCGCGGTAAAAAGTAGACTATGTCACTCTCCAGTCTTTCAACTATATCCACACAACACTTCATTCCGTCGCTGTTTCGACGTGAAAGAAGGACAAACAAACACATTTTCAGGTTTATAATATTAAGTATGAATAGTGATTTAATTCTTAAGAAAGTCACAAAAAGAATGTTAAGTTATTATTATTATTAGTCAATTTTTTATAATATTAATTAGCAGTCGCTTCGCTTCGGGTTCGTCCCTAGACATAAACAAATCTATCCCACGGGAACCGTACATATTTCCGGGATGATATATAGCCTATAGCCTTCTTCAATAAACGGGCTATCTAATGCAAAAAGAATTTTTCAAATCTGATTAGTACTTCCTGGGATTAGCGCGTTCAAATAAATAAACAAACAACCCTGTTGAAAAACACCAATAGAATCCCATCAAAAGCGACAAAAGCCACATAGAAACCAATACTGGTTGGTTTCTATGTGGCTTTTGTCGCTTTTGATGGGATACTATTGGTGTTTTTAAATAGGGAAACTGCCACTTTATAATATTAGTATATTGTATCAACTGTTTTTTTTTTAATTTTATTATTTTGTTCCAGCCAATACCACCAATAGTTTTACGAGCACAGCTTGTTAAGAAACAACTGGAAGAAACTAAGACGTTAACAATAAAGTTGGAAAATAAGGAAGCGGATATAAAGGAACTTAGAAAGGCGCTTAAGGTGAGATAAACTAATTATATAGATTTTACTAGCGACTCACCCTCGCTTCGCTCTGGTTCGTCACTAGCTTGCATCCCAATACAAACTTTAGTCCCAATTTTCACCCCCTTAAGGGATGATTTCCGGGATAAAAAGTATCCTATGTCCTTCCCAGGGTCTAAAACTTTCTTCTTACCGAATTTCATCTAAATCGGTTCAGTAGATCCAGAGATTATCCCCTACAAAGTCACAAACTCACAAACTGTACCTCTTTATAATATTAGTATAGATATAAGTTTTTTTCTTATATAGATAACTAATTATCTAGTTTCGTCAATATATCATACATAGAAAAATGACGACTTTAGTTTGTAGCGATAAAATCGCTAATCGCTCTGTTGTGATAATACTCTGACGTCACATTCGGTCTGACCAATGGCGTGCGTTTCAATTACTTTGAATTTACCACCTGTATTTGCACATTTTAATAATTATTTTCTTAATCAAAAAAATATATTAATATAGGCTTAATTCAACAGCGATAAAGATTATAAAAAAAAAAATTTCACTTTTAATTAAATCACGCGCATATTCTCTATTACATACACACATTAATTTTGCCCCATGATTACCACTTGTCTTACGGTGAAGGAAAACGTCGTGAGGAAAGCAAGCAAGTTTTCAAAAAATATGTTCAGTCCGTCCGCACTTGGCCAGCGTGGTGGACTATGGCCTGATCCCCCTCGTATTGAAGGGAGGCCCGTGCCCAGTAGTGGGACGTTAAAAAGGACTGAATACATACATACGACGACACGTTTGGCTCAGTTTGTAGTGTAGTACTTGCTGTGCCAGCGGTCGCGGGTTCCAGTCCCGCTGGGGACATTCATTTGTGTTATGAGCACGAACGTTTGTACTCCAGTCATGTGGGTTTATATTTCTCATATGTATGTATTTATTTAAAATTATATATGTGTAGTGTATCAACTATCTGGTATCCATAACACAAGCCTCGTAGCTTACCATGGAACTAGATGGTGCTGTGTGTTAATGTCCCAACATATTTATTATTTATACGTACATTTTCAGGCCAAACAAGAGGAGCTGTCGGAGATGCAGATACGACGCGAGCTGGGCGAGCGTAAGCTGGTGTCGGCGGCTCGCGACGCGGAGGTGCGCGCCCAGCAGCTGCAACGACGACTCGATGACGCCCAAAATCAACTCAAACGGTGAGATTTATTTATTTTATTTCATTTTATTTCTTTAGATACAGAAAGAGAAAATTTAAAATATCATTTTGAAAAGCGTATATAAATCTAAGAAAGTATTGGAAACTGTATGGTTTTTTTTTAAATAAATTTCAGAAAAGAGAAGGAATTCGAAGAAACAATGGACCATCTCCAACAGGACATAGACTCGCTGGAGAACGAGCGCGGCGCTCTGCGGGAGAAACTAAAGTTATATGCCAAGCGAGGAACACATCATGGTGAGAGCATTTTGTTATTATGTATATATATATTTTTGTACTATTAAACTGGTATACTATCTTAGAAACTCTAAACATGCGTTATTTTTATTCAAAACTAGCGTCACTCTTGTTTCGCTTCGGCTTCGTCCATAGACGAAAACAAATCTATCCTACGGGAATTATATATTTTTTTGGGATGTATAGCGTATAGCCTTCCTCAAAAAACGGGTTATCTAATGCAAAAAGAATTTTTCAAATCGGATTAATAGTTCCTGAGATTAGCGCGTTCAAACAAACAAACAAACGAACAAACAAACGAACTCTGCCTCATTATAACATTAGTATGGATTTATAAAAAAACACAGTTATATAGTGAATATTAACAGTAAATTGAGTATCAACTTTTAGGTTTCGAATATGAAAAATGGCAAATTTCCACACAAAATTCCGGTCCCCTATTTAAACCTTATTAACTTTTGTAAATTAAAAAATAACTCTTTCAAATATTTAAGCTGTATTATAATTTTATATAATTTAATGTCTCGATATGTGAATATTTAAAGAGAGTTTTCTATTAGAGGAATTGAAAAAATAATTCAAAAACTGATGGAAAGTAGAAAAATGAGTTTAAATCATTTGTATACTTAGAAAGAGAGGTTTAACAATTATGGTCATGTAGGGAAAAACCTTGAAAAGCCAAGTGTCTATTTCTTTTATAGCTAAAGTACAATGGCTACTTGTTGTGCCAGCGGTCGCGGGTTCGAGTCCCGCTGGGGGCATCCATTTGTGTGATGACCTCGAAAATTTGATTGTTGATTTATAATACCTACGCATGTATTTAAAGTTATACGAGTATTTGTGTAGTGTATCAACTATCTGGTATCCATAACACAAGCCTCGTAGCTTGCCATGGAACTAGATGGTGCTGTGTGTTAATGACCCAACATATTTATAAAATAAAAACTCAATCTTGTTAATGGGTTCAAAGCGTGCCAGTTGAGCACAGATTAAATCGTTAATGGTTTCAAAGCGTGCCAGTTAAACACAGATAACTGCCCCGGTGGTGTAGTGGCTAGCATGTACGGCTGCACACTCGGAGGTCCTGGGTTCGAGTCCCGGGCCGGGCCAAGTTTAGTTACTGAGTCTTTCTGTATAGTAAGTCTCAGTAACAGCCCGGAGTTGGGAAGTTGGCGGTGTTTCACCCCCGTGCCTCGGAGAGCACGTAAAGCCGTCGGTCCTGCGCCGACACTCTCACCGGTCGTGTCTCGTGTCGTCCCACCGGAGTATGAGAGTGACAGGAATAGAGAGTGCACGTTGTGTCTGCGCGTACACTTGTGCAGTATAATATCTCCTGCGCAGTTGGCTAGTCTCAATGAGATTGGCTGCCGTAGCCGGAATTGGCTAGGAGAACATCATCAAGCACAGATTAAATCGCTAATAGAAAACAAGAAAGTGTATGACGTGCACGTGGTCAAGATGTGTCATTCTCATATATTTTTTTGTTTTCTATTAGCGATTTCCAATGTAGAAGTCTATTTGTCTAAGAGGTCAGTCTTAGGTGAATTTCATTGGAAAAAGTTAAAATGCATAGAGCATGTAGCGCGTGGTTATTCTTTTCGAATACTCCATAAGGTATATAGCGGGTTTTAATGTATGTATGTGTATATCATATAAAAGGTTATGCATACAAAAATATGTGTAACTTTTGCGTAGAAATCAACATAATATAAACAGATATAATATGTAGGAGTTAATATTTTCATATATATTATTAAATAAGGATGTAAAATTACTTAAAAAAGTAAATATATGGTATATTTACTTTTTTAAGTAATTTGTAAATTAAACTATCTTTTCGAATTTTTTCCCCGATTTATTTTGATGTTTGGTATACGTTTACAGCAATCATAGTCCCGTGAGATTGGTATCTCTTTGAAAAGATAGTTTTATTAAAAATGTCAAATATTCGCGTAAATTTAAGGAAGTATTACAGGGTCTTGTGTTAAAAAAAAGAACAAAAAATTTTTTTTCAATATTTATTGGTAATATTTTCGTGTGTGTCTGTACAGCGCTGGCGTCGCCGGTGGCTCGCGACTACTCACGTAAGATACGTGTATACTGTGTCTAACCGCATGATATATGATCATTCATTTTTTTAATTAAAAAAATAATAATATCTATGGTGCTATATTGCTTTCTTAATTTAAAAAAAGCATAATTAACTTTGTAAAATATAAAGGTGTAGAATTTTGCAAGTATGCCCTATCAACATAATAGCTTTAAAAAAATATAAAGATTTTTAGTGCAACATTTCCAATTAAAAATATAGCAAAAAAAAAAGATTTTTTTGGCATTTTATTAAACTTTAAATATCTATTTAAAACTTGTATTAAATAAATAAATGATTAAGAAACTTTTTTAGTCTAGACAAAAAAATGATTTAAAAAAAATATTGTGTAACGTAATATAGCACTATAACATTTTGACACGATACTTCATTTAACAAAGTAACATTTTTTCGCCTTTAGCTTTAAACAGCATTATTTTGCGAGAAATTTTATTTTCAAACTATTCGTTTTTTTTTAAATTTTACTCTATTACATAGAATAAATAATTAATTTTACTCTTTATAAAACATGCTTTATAGTCTTGCGCCATCATTACATCGACCTAATAATACCATATAAAAAAATTAAGCATACAATATATTATGATACCATATATAGATGGTGACGTTTATTACAAGTTTGATTTAATTTAAATATATTTTGCGAATTTTCTAGAAAATAGAGCAAATAATTCTGTAGTGTGTATAAATATTTCATATTTTCCAACGGGAATATTAGCTGTGTACTTTAGAAACTTCTTTTTTTTTTAAATTCAATAATTTGACTTTTAGAACAACAATATTGGCAGTTGTTTTGATTATATATTTTTTCTTCATCATCATCATCATATTTTTTCTTAGAAAACTGAATAATATTTTCCATTTTTTTTTTACAATTTATAATCGAAATCAGGTTATAATTAATAATATATATAGATCCAATTTGATGTTTTAGCGGTGGTGACCCCAACGCCGGCACCCAAAGACACACTACGTAAGATTGACGTTTTGTCAATGTTGCATCGTGTTTTGTTTAGCATGCTTGTGACTTATTTTGATTTGCGGCAAAATATCTTAATATATAAGAAATTAAATATACTTCTTAAAGAACAATATTTTATGAATTATAAAATGATAAGCTTTTTAAATAAAAAATTGCGCTTTTTTTTTCAATTTTTAATCTGTGTTCTGTGAATTTGCATGATTGTGTAATCTGTATTTTCACTACTCTAACGGCTGCTACTGAAAAAAAATGCTTGCATTGATTTAATGTATTACGCTTATACGTTTTTTTCAGTACATAAATAAATATATTAATGTGTAAATTAAAAAATAATAGATTAAAAGCTACTAAAAGTTAGTTATCTTCGTTTTAAATTGATATAAATATATATATAAATATATATATATATATATATATATATATATATATATATATATATATAAAGTTAATATAGCAGTTGATGATATAATTTCTTCGATTCATACAAACTGACATACTGTATGTACATGTAAATATTTGTTTTTCTATACATTTTTATTTACATTAATTAGTATTCATATAAGTTGAACTGTATTGGCAGTCATTTTTTGTTTGTATATTAAAAATATGGAGGGCAGAGGTGAGGAGAATTAGCTCTGCGATGAAAGTGTCCGTCGAAAGGCATTAAATAAGGGTGGCGCTACAATAGCAACAGGGTAAATTTTGAAGAAAGCGCCATAAGTATTATTAAAAGTTCACAAAAAATAAACCACTCTCTACGTTTATATAAAACCTAAGGTGTTTCGGTTGTATTTACTAAATTATTTTGGACTAAGTAAAAAGTTTCAATAACAACTCAAATCACCCGAAATATTAAATTTTTCATCTTTGCACACTTCACTCCGTTTACAACCGCTACATTCATATCATACCCTTTTGCTACGCTAGCGCCATTCTGGTGGGTTTTTGAACTGTTATTTACCGCTTACAGGTGGTCACTTTTTCTTCCATATAAGATAGTACTCCTTACCTCTATCATCCATAATTAAAACATAGATAGATTGATTACTAAAGTTTCTAAACCTTAAAGAATAATTATTATGTAGTTAACACTAAAGATGATCGAACTGTGCCTAAATATATGATCCTGAAAAATGTTTCACAAGTGTGAATTAAGGTGCTCCTTCTCTTTCTATATAAGATATTAAGATAAGGACAGTATGCCCTTTACAAGCGAATTTTATTTAGTTTATATTCACTTATTTGAATACTAATTAATATTTATTATATGTGAATTAATAAAATCCTTAGAAATCATATTAATCAATAATTTAATGAAAATTTTATTATTTATATATATGGTTATTATTTTTGCGTGTATTTTAATTCAATATAGTCTATATAAAAAAAAAACAATATAAAAATGATATTTAAATTAATATGTTTATGTCATTTATTAGAAAATGACTAATATGTAACTAAAAGGTGGTAGAACTAAAAACATTTTAACAGAAATCTTTAATCGACGATTCCAAATGATTTTTTTATAGTTTTTCAAAGCAATGCTTGAATAAATAGTATATGAATGTGTTTTTTTATTTATATTTGTGTTGATAGATTTCAGTTGAAATTGGACAGATTAAATATTTAAGTTACAGATAAAAAATATTCATTCGATAAATAATATTTGAATAACTAAATTTGATATAAAAATAATATAAATATATATCAAATATATTTATATTATTTAATCTGTCCATTATTTCTATTAACAAAATACAAAAATTAAGTGTATTTTTTGGGTTTGCAGAAGAAACACCTGTGAAGGTGACTCCAGGCATCGCTGCTGGAGAGGTTAATGAGGCTCTGCAGCATCAACTGAAAATACTTAGTTGGTAAGTCTTCTCTCTCTCTCTCTCCTTTCTAAGGTAATAATGACTTAAAAATGAGCGAAAAACGAGTTTTTACTATGAAGGATTCATTTGTCCATAAGTCCATCCATAAGTTATTACGACTAACCCTTTTTCTAAATCCTACCGACTGCTAAACCAATAAACAAAATCCCAGAACCAAACCAAACAACGACTAAAATAAGAAAAAAAAAAAAAAAATAAAAATTAATTAATTTCTTTGCTATCTCATAAGTTGTTATGATTTTCCTATCTTCCTCTACTAAGCTATTAACTTGACTATATCAATGTACATCAGTGGCGAAGGGTGAAATTTTAGCAGAGCAAATGCAAAAAGAAATAAAGCTATTATTATAAATATCTTTCCAAGAGAACATTTATACATTTAAAAAATTAAATGTACGTAAAATTATAGCAAAATACATTTTAGGGTAAGACGTCTTGTATGGACCCATCGCCACTGGTGTACATTATTCCTATCTCCAAAATCCCTCACTAAAATACTGGACCAATAACGAAACAAACAGGACGGTGGAGCGCGAGCGCGAGGCGCGCATATCCGCGTGCGCGAAGGCGTCCCGCGCGGCGCTGCGGGCGCTCCGCCCCCTGCACCACCCCGCCGCGCCCGCCGCCGCGCTGCGCCGCCGCGCCGCCGCCGCGCTGGAGCAACAGCTCGTGCAGCTGCACACTGTAAGTGACACATACATACTACACCCACACATATGTACATTCATATACGTACATACATATACCCTATAACCATGCAAAGTGCTTTCTCTGTCCCATATTAGCATACAAACTGATAAGGACAAAAAACTGTCTAGCTCCGCCCACTAACACTTGCAACTGGTTTGAAATCGTAGGGCTCGTTCATGTTGCTAATGCTTTAGTGAGGAATTATTAATAATTTGTAATAAAATAAAATCAACATAAAATTAAAAATTAACTATATTTTTAAATATTTATATACATTATTTATTAATTTTCACTTTCCTATGCATCACTGTCGTCTCCTACATTGATAATAAATCAGGTAACTACACGAGAGACGTGTGAACGGTACGGAATGCAACGACGGACTAATTATGACTTGCATTATAATCGCGGCCTAATACATAGTATATATATTGATTTATATATACAATATACATACATATACACAGACAGACCCATGTATACATTAATGGCGATGGATTCGTACAAGACGATTGCCACCGTCTTTCTTTTTATAAATCTAATATCTACAATTACAATTAAAATTTAAACATTTTTTTTTTGTAAAATATAATAAATAGCATTATAATCATTAACTAACAACTCACTCTTACTCCGCTCGGTTTTGTACCTAGTTACGTTTTAAAGTTTAGTATAGATTTCTCAGACATGAGATATTTTCCCACAGTAAAAAGTATTCTATGTGTCGACCCGGATAACCAGCTATCACCATACCAAATTTCATCTAAATATATCCAGTGGTTTTCTCACGATGCGTTCCCACACAGACAGACCGACAGCAATTTCTAAAAACTATAGATTCGGCCTCTATATCGATAATGATGTCTATTTTAACAAGATTTTCCAAAGAATATTTAATGTACAGATTCGACTTAGTTAAAATTTTATTATATGTATAGATAGATAGATCAATTAATATTCAAATCAAAGAGAAATCCTAGTTAAATATAAGTACTGATAATGTTTGGATTCCAGGAATGGACGTTATTCGTCGCCAAGTCGGGATTGGTCAAGTTTCCTGAAGACTTGAGCAAATACGCCAAGGCGTTGGAGCAGCACAAGGAGAAACAGAGAGAGACCAGGAGGAGATTGGAGGTAATATATTTTCTTGTTTGTATCAAGTCAATACTTGTGATTTGGCACGCGTTAATTAATATAGTATACATTATACAATATTTATTATAAAACTAGCAACTCACCCATCGCTTCGCTCGGGTTCGTCCTTAGATTGCTTCCCCATACAAAATTTCATTCTCATTTTGACTTCCGTAAGGGATGATTTCCGGGATAAAAAGTATCCTATAGCCTTCCCAGGGTCTCAAACTATCTTCTTACCAAATTTCATCTAAATCTGTTCAGTAGATCCAGAGATTACCCCCTACAACCTCACAAACTTTACCTCTTTATTATATGGTATAGATCATTCCTTTTACAAACAGAGAGTTGTCACGTACGGGATGAAATCTTTAGCTATTTTTGTTCTGTTACGCCAAAGAAGTATAACTTCTTACGTGCGTACATACAGTACACGCACACGTTTTTTTTTTTAAATTCTAATAACTTTTTTTTTTAATTTCAGGAGAAACTATTCAATCTCCAAGCAGAAGTGCGTAACCTCGTGTCCCTCCACCGTCCCTGGCGGTGCGTGGAGGCCGACTTCACAGAGTTCCCCGCGCCCGAGCTGACGGCAGTAAGTACTCACTTTGAATAACTACAATAAAGAAAATTACAAATATAATAAACTAGCGACTCATCCTGGCTTCGCTCGGGTTCGTCCCTAGATTGCTTCCCAATACAAACTTTCACCCCCATTTTCACTCCCCTTAAGGGATGATTTCCGGGATAAAAACTATCCTATGTCCTTCGCAGAGTCTCGAAACTATCTTACCAAATGTCATCTAAATCGGTTCAGTAGTTTCGGAGCCTATTCGATACAAACAAACAAACAAAAAAAAGACATATTTTTTTCTCTTTGTAATATTAGAATAGATTATATATATATTATATACAAAACAAATGTACACTTAATTATTACTGTACAAGTCATGTCCGCGTGGAATAGCGGCAAGAATGCTAGCCGCATTCCCCCGTTGAATGGCAATGCTGATTATTTGGGCGAAGATCGAAGCCAGCTCTCCTGTCACCAGTAGAGGTTGATAAGACTAGAATGTTAGATGGATAATTTGAATTCTTTTTTAACGTCCCATTGCTGGGAGTGGGCATCCCTTCAATACGAGGGGGATCAGGCCATAGTCCACCACGTTGGACAAGTGTGAGCGGACTGAGCATGTCTGCAGATAACTTGCAAGGTTCTCTCAGACATGCAGGTTTCCTCACGATGTTTTCCTTCACCGTAAAACAAGTGGTAATCATGTTGGAAATGATTCTCACATGAAAATATCAGAGATGCGAGACCCGGGATTAGAATCCGCTTCACTCGGTTTCCCAAGCGACCTCGTTACCACTGAGCTACCACTGCCTTGTTAAACTAATATGAGTAAGATATGTTAAAAATACTAACATTAATAATAAATATTATTTCAGGCTTTAACATCAAAGGCATTAGATATCGGCACAATCAAGTACCCAGCATCCGAGTCCACACAAGAAGACACGATCTACGTTACGCCATCACAACTCGCCAGGTGAGTTGTCTTACATCTACACTGGTATTATAAAGAGGTGAAGTGTGTCAGTTTGTATGTAAGGGGTAATCCCTGAAATTGCTGAGCCGATTCTGAAGATACTTTCACTAACAGCAATCTACGTTACCGCCGAGTGTTTTATTGTTTATGTTATTTTCCAATAAACATGTGTTTACTGTCAGAAGTCATAATAATTTAAATTGAGTTGAGTTTAAAATAATTTAAATATATGTATGTAATCAACAAAATTTAAAAAAAATACCAGATGTCACTTTACCAAATTTCATCAAAATCCCTCCAGTGGTTTTTCTGTGATGCGGTAACAGACAGACAGGCAGACAGACAGACAAAAATTCTAAAAACTATAGATTCGGCCTCTGTGTCGATAATAATGTTTATTTCAATAAGATTTTCCAAAAAATATTTGATGTACAGATTCGGCTTAGTTACAATTTTATTATATGTATAGATATACACATATATATATAATTAAAATTAACGAATATTGTAAAATAATTTGGTGGCATTTTTGTATTTTTTTTAAATTATTCTGTCATTTTATATAACGCCTTTGAGACATTTCTCACAACCTTATTCTCTCCCGTGACCATGATTGCTGTAAAGCGTTCGAAACGTCGGGAACCAAAAATCTAAATAAATCCGCGAAAAAATCCGAATAGTTTTATTTAAAATTTACATTGTAGTTAAAATGATTAATTTATTATTTATCTAATTCTATCTAATCTGTCATGTATTTTTCTTTTCTTTTCGACAGATTGCGAGAAATTGTAACGGATTTACAATCGGACGACGTTCAACTCGACTTGAAGCCGCTCGATCATACTGTGTGTGCCGCCTGAGAGTGGCATGCGAGCGAGATGGAGATAGGGGGAGCTATAGAGACAGAATGAGATAGAGATATAATGAGATATAGATAGTATGAGAGAGGGAGAGATGGCTAGTTTGTGGTTATTTTTTATGGTGATTAGTCTTGAATGAACGTGCATAGTATATGAAGGTAAGATGTGAAATGTTAGATTTGGTATGTTGGTAAGCAACGTCCCCAGTGAGATTTATTTGGATGGGTTACCGTTTTGTAGCCTTTTTTGCAATTTTTTTGTGTTCGATATTGATTTTTAAATTTAGTATTTAATTTATATAAAGACATTATGATAAGTTTTTTTTACTGAAGCCTTATTTCCGCTCAAGCTGATTGATTTTATTAAAGTTAATTGTCGATAGTGGCACATCACAAAACACAACCCACTCTCACAGCAAAAAAAACTGGCAACCCACGTAATGTCAGTTTTGTCTCTGAGATAGATAGACTAAAGTATAGCATAATTTCAAAAATATCTCTTAGGTCATTTTGCATTGGCCCCTTTAACATTTAAAACTCATTATTTATTAAACAATAAAAGTAGCAATTGTAGAAATATATATCTCTCTCTTTCTTTATTTCATTTCGAGAGAAAAAGATAGCAGTAGTAAGTTACAGAAAGGAATAATATTTGTATATTATAGTATTATTTATGTAACACATAGATTTAAAAAAAGTTGTCCGTCACTGGACGCCCGGCAGATGTGAAACATCTATGTTCCTAAAACATATTAAATTGTGTTATTATTTCAATTATAATAATAATTACACAATATATATATGTATTCATAGATAAAATAGAAAATATGTAAGTATTTTCAATGGAGAGTGTTTTAAAATGAAGCGTGTGTAGTGTATAGTATACGCACACACGAGGGAGCCGTCACGCCATACGAGTCTGTTTTATTGACGAAGCGCGACAATAGATGTTTCACATCGAAAAAACATTTTTGTTTTTTTTTTTATTTATTTAAAAGCTTAATTTTTTATGCTTTAATTAATATTGTATTAGTGTAAAATTTTAAAAAAATGATGTGAATAGGAATGTGCATTCGAACGATTTTGAAATCGATTCAATTTGAATATTCGATATTCAGCGCGTTTTGGGAAATAGAAAACTAATTGTAAAGAAAATTTAAAAATAATTATTAGTTTGAAATAACTTACGTGAACTTTTGAGATCTTCTGTCTAGTTCTACTTCTATCATCTATTTACAAAGTACTATATACACAATCAGCGACAAAAAATGTCCTCACCGAATGAGCGCTCATTTGAATATTTGAGTGCGTGTTTAATATTTTTTTTGAAAACAACTTTACGCATTGGTTCAGTTTACATTGTTGTATATTTATTTCAACTAAAATAATCAACTAAACACAATTGGTGAAAGTTTTAAGAGAACTTTTGCATGGGATTGTGTATCTAGTACATTTTTAATCGATGGTAATTTGACATTAAAATATGGTTTAACACCTACAGGTAAATTTCTAAGGAATCTATTGTTAACTGTAACGCCGGCGTGTCCGCGGTCGTGGAGGGATTAACGCAAAAATGCTAGTTAGGAGGTATCAGAAGTTCACGGACGTTATTATGTGGAAATTCTCGAATTTTCGATATTTTTAATTTTTAATCGTAAATTGCTTAGAATCGAATATTTGAATGAAATCCGCATTCTTGTATTTGCATACTCTTAGGCGTAGATAATTTTTCTCATATTACTAGCATTAATTTTCAAAATGGCAACTTAAAAATTAATATTTAAAAAATACTTATAAGTATTATTTATAAATTGTAAATATTGTTATTTGTCCTTATGTGTGTAATATTAAACATAAGTACTATAATATTAAATAATTTAAGTGCTTTTTTTCATTTAATTTATTTTTAAATTTATTTATGTTAAACTCTCATATTATTTAAAAATTATTTTTAAATATATGAATAGCGACAAATTACACGTTAAATTGTATTAGGTTTTTAATAATACCTTCAAAAAAATAATAGGTCTTTAATAATGCCTTCTAAAATTTTATCAAAATTTGTTTAGCCTTCTCATTGTAATCTTGAACGATTTAAATAAGTCGCAGAAACACGCCACTTTAGATAACACGCTAAAGTCGTGATGTTGGAACATGGTTTTAGGCTGTCAGTACAAAAGTGGCCTAACTTTGAATATATTTTCTTTGAAAATTAACAGATACTAAAATTTATAAATAAAAATTACTTATGAAGTTATTTATTTCTAAGCTTGTGAATTATTTTTTAGTAATTTGTATTTTATTTAAAATATGGGTGAGGCCATTTTTGCATTGACTGTCCTATATGAATTGTACTTACGTAATAAATGCCTATTTATTGGACTTTCTTTTTTTTATTTCTTATCCCTTGCTCCTTTATACATCGGTACATATTTAAAGTATTTTTTAACTTTTTTTCGAATTGGGGACATTAACATACAGCGCCATCTAGTTCCATGGAAAGCTACGAGGCTTGTGTTATGGATACTAGATAGTTGATACACTACACATATATAACTTTTAAATACATACATATTATAAATATAAACACCCATGACTGGGGTACAAGCATTCGTGCTCATCATACAAATTAATGCCCCCAGCGGGACTTGAACCCGCGACCGCTGGCACTGCAAGTAGGGTCACTACATACTGAGCCAAACGTGTCGTCAAACTGTTTAAAAAATGCTTTCCATTCGAATACTTTTTTTTTAAATTTAAATTTGTCGAATATATCCATAGACTATGCGCTATGGCATAGAGCATAGTAGAATCAATAATAAATAAAAAAATAGCTTTATTACATTAAATATTTGAGATTCAATTAAATTCTCATACTAAAGACATATGTGTCTCTCATTTATTATTGATCAATTCAATTCTCTTGTTAATGGCTTCAAAGCGTGCCATTTTAGCACAGATTACTTCGCCAATGTCACGTACAATGGAGAAGACACGAAGGAGATTGGTTTATATATTATTATTTTTTTCTTTAATGGCTTAGAGATTCATAGGTATATATTATTATGGGGTTTTTATCAGAAAAAAGATATAAAAGTTACATCGTAGTTCAAATAAATGTTAATAGATGGCGTTGTTAGTATCAGTTTCTTATTAAAGATAAAAAATAGATCCCAAAGAGGAACATTATGATTTTAAAATATATTATAAGTGAAGGGAAACTAAATAATGCGTTTGTAAATGAGAATTGCGTAAATTTACTGATTATATTGAATAAAATACTCACATGATGAGTTTGTAGTGAGTGTTCACAGATGGCGCCTTTACTTTTTACGAGTTGTTTATCATGGTTAAATATTGTTGAAGTCACTTAAATTTGTTTAATTTAATTTAGGATGAATTTTGTGATATAGTTTATACATTATTTTGTTTCATATTTATGAAATAAAATGCATAGATCGAAAGTTTGTGAATTAACAACGTCTATTATTAATTTAAGTAAATTCAAGTAAAAATTAAAAAACAAGAATCGAAGAACAGCCAAAGATTCGTCATTTCGATTTTTAATGATATAACTGTAAACTCTACTAGCGACTCACCCGCTCGTAGGGTTCGTCCCTGCTTATGTTTTAATGTTTAGTATAGATTTCTCAGAGATGAGATGTTATCCCGCAGTAAAAAGTTAGCCGGATAACCAGCTATCATCATACCAAATTTCATCAAAATCCCTCCAGTGGTTTTTCCGTGATGCGGTATCAGACAGACAGACAGACAAAAATTCTACAAACTATAGATTCGGCCTCTGTGTCGAAAATAATGTTTATTTCAATAAGATTTTCCAAAAAATATTTAATGTACCTACAGATTCGGCTTAGTTACAATTTTATTACATGTATAGATAACAACCTTTAACACATAAACGACCCTGTAGTTAAAGACGTCATTAAAAATTTCGTTTTAAAAGGTACAGCCATTTAAAATCGGTCGGATTTAAAATTTGTCGGACAGACAAATAAACAGATTAATGTATGACATAGTAAATATAAAATATCTACCTGCGATGTTTAAATTTTTATAAAATGATATATGAAAGTAATATTTGAATGGCGACACAATCACCAAGTTTTGGTTCGCGTCTGAATCGAACGGTACAAAGCGGTCCCTTTCGGATTAATTTAAATACTTCGCATTCCTATAGCACAGGGACGTACTACGAAGGTTTTAATTTAACTTTTTTTTTTTCTTATCCATACTAATACTATAAAATAAAGTAACTCTGCCTGTTTGTGTGACTTTAACCCGCTGAACCGATTTAAATGAAATTTCGTATGTAGATAGTTTGAAACCCTGGAAATAGAATAGTTTTTATTCCGGAAATCATCCCTTAATGGGTCACCCCAAGGGAGGTGGAAGTTTGTATATATGATATTATGATATAAAACTATTTCATACTAAGCGTCAAAACGTACTTAGGGACGCTAGTATATTAATAAAATGTATATAATTAAGTATCTATTGGCAGTTCGTAAATTTCCGATCGTCAAGTTGCGGAACTAACTTCAGCTGATAAAGAATACTCACTATTTAGATAGGTATAATGTTTATAAAAGTGTCGGTAGATCAAAGTGTTCAAAAGTTTTCCAAAAACAGTCTCTAGGGATTTCTTAGCACCGACAATAAAAATCTTTACATATAATAAAAAAAAATGGATACGTGTATCCTTTACGCACGGTTGAAGTAAAACGTTTTTGGCAAATATCACAATTAAATTAAAACAAATTAAAAATTAAATAAGGCTTATTACAATTATATTTTTATAGAATATCATATAGGGAAAGAATATAACATTATTTATTTGTCAGAAAATAATAACAGTTACCATGGCAACACGGTAATGTATTCTATCTCATTCTCTCTATCTATATATTTATGCATTTGTCTCTTTTTAGTGTTAACTTTTCGTTTCATCGAGTTTCAAATCAAGTTTCACTTCAACAA